AAGTGTAATATTGTATCTTAAAAAAAATCATTGGCATTTTTAGATTTTACAATTTTGTTAATTCATGATTTCTAGAGTTTGATCTTTATCACAGAAGTCATACTGACAAGTACTCTAACTTGTACGTTATAACATGCATTCATCGTTTTGTTGAAAAAAAATTAGATTGATTTTGCTGAATGAAGAAAAACAATAAAAGATTGAATGTTGAAATTTTATTTTAAAATTGTATGGTTAATTTTCTATTAAAATAATCCTCAATGAGCTTGCAAAAATTAAAATTAAAATTCAGAAAACAGTGGCAAGAATAATAAATCTTTCTGAGTCAAATACTTTTGGCTTATAATTTTCATAATTCTCAGTGCTGGGAAGTATGGGAGCACAGTTGAGGAAGGCTGCCCAAGTCTATCCCTACTTGAAAGGCTTTTAATTCTAGAACTCCCATCTTGCAGGTAAATCTGAAATTAGAGACTTGAAATCTTTTTAAAAAAAATATACAGATAAATTCTCTGGTAGTCCCGGAATTGTTAAATGTTATCTTATGCATGCTATGGCTTTGTCCTCTACTGGGATCAAAATTACTTTTAAATTTCCTTCCTTCTAGGATCCTCTTTGGAGAAAGGCCCTACTGGTGGGTTCACGAGACAGATTTCTATGGCAATTTAACACCCCCGGTAATCCGCCAGTTTCCCATTACCTGTGAAACTGGCCCAGGTGAGGTTGCAAGTGTTGTACCCCCTACTTTCCCAGTATCTTCCTTAAGCCATTGCAGCTGCAGCCTTCCTTTCACTGATTCCTTTGTATGTATCTTCAGGTAGTCCTTCTGGTCATGCCATGGGGTCTTCTGGGGTCTATTATGTCATGGTGACAGCATTGCTATCACAACTACAGCCACAGAAGCAAAACACCTTGAGAGGCAGGTAAGGTCTGCATGCCTGCTGTACAGATGGCAGCTGAAACTTTATGTTTAGACACGGACATAACTGAGAGAGATCCTCTTTTGCGCTTCTGTTCTGGATATATCTTCCCATTCCCATTCCCATTTCCCTCTAAGGAGAGGATATTGATATAAGACTATGGAAGAAAAACCATACCTAAACAGTATCTCAATCCACTATCTCATTTTCAGATGGTTGTTTTTGTTTTATGGCAATGGCTGCCACAATTAACACATTAAGAAGTATTATCTATATGCAACATGAAAGAAACTATGTTCTTATACAACAGTTTCAAAGTTGACTTCTAAATCATAAAATCAAGACTAAGATTAAAAATTGAAGCATTATAGAGGTAGTGCTTGATTTATGTCCACAACTGAATCCAAACTTTCTATTGCTCAGTGAGATATTTGTTAAGTGAATTTTGCCCCTTTTGTGACCTTTCTTGCCACAGTTGTTCAGTGAATTACTGCAGTTGTTAAGTTAATGACTTGAGTTTTAAGTGAATCTGGCTTCCCCATTGACTTTGCTTGTCAAAAGATTGCAAAAGTTGACCACAGGATTCCAGGACACTGCAGCTATCAATACGAACCAGTCACCAATTTTGATGACATGACCATGGGGCTTCTGAAACAGTCATGTGAGAAACATTCATAAATCATTTTTTTCAGTGTCATAATTTTGAATGGTCACTAAAAGAACTGTGGTAAGTGGAGGACTACCTGTATTTGTGGAAAATTGAATTTTGTGGTGTTTCAGTGTCAGTGTCAGTCTTCCTGTTTTTGTTCATTTGTTGATTTTGGGAACCTCTGGAAACGTTTGGCAAATGTGTGCACTGGAACATAATTATGAAAACATCTGACTGATTGTTTCAGGGAAACATCCATTTGTGAGGAAATGCCATGCAAAAGGAGATAACGAAATGTATTTTTTGACTGCCAAACTAAATTAATTAATCCTAAAGTGAAAACACAGCAGGCATCTTGTTGGTTTAACACAGATAGAGAAATATAGATGTCCATAGGATAGTAAAAAAAAAAAAAAAGTCAGAATGAGAGCAACAGTGGAATAAATAAAGTTCTGCCAGGTTTGTATGTATGTGTGTATGCATGTGTGCAGAACATATAAAAATCAGACATAACTTTGATTTCACTATCATGTCTACTATCTTGACTCTCTTAAAATCACATTTTACACTATGGCACCCCTGTAGTCTCAAAGCTACAGGTGGTTCCAAAAACAGGACAGCAGAAATTGCCTACAGATATTACTTGTCCCCTACCCCTTGCAGAGCAGAGAGATTAGAGAAGAGATTTAAAGAGAGTAAGCAGTATGTGCCTGCTTACTTCCTTGTAATCCCTTCCTGTCCAATCTCTCTGTGCTGAAAGTGAAGGGAAAAAAACCCAGATCAGCACAGGAAAACACATACTGATTCTAATGGCAATTGCATGACTGAGGGACAGTATGAAGGTCATAAATACAGACATTGGTGGTGAAGTTATGTTTTCAGTATTTTTACAACATTGAACAGTCACCAAACAAAGCAGTTGGTAAGTGAGGACTATCTTCATTTAACTAATTCACTGTAAAATTAGCTAAATGAAATTTTATTTCCTGTTCTGGCACAACATTCAAAGGACAGATTGGCCTTTAGCCAAAGATGTCCCTCTTTGGTGCAATTAAAAACTCCTGCTTTTGCTGATCTTCCCATCTTCCTCATTCCAGATGGCTGCATCATCTTCTTTGGACAGGATTCTGGACTATACAAGTCTGTGTCTGCCTGTCCCGAGTGTTCATTGCTGCACACTTCCCACATCAAGTGATTGCAGGTGTTATTTCAGGTAAGCTATTCCTAGTCCTGAATAAATAAAAGAATAAAATCCTATATGTAAATATCAGAGAATGCCAACTCAATCAATGATTGACTTATTCCACAGGAATACTGGTGGCTGTGATTTTTGAACAGGTCCATTCCATCCACACTGCCAGCTTCACACGATACGTTGGAACTATTGGCTTCCTCTTTGGTTTTGCCCTAGGCTTCTACCTGCTGCTCAAGATGCTGGGTGTAGATCTCTTATGGACACTCGAGAAGGCCCACAAGTGGTGTGAACGGCCTGAATGGGTCCATATTGACACAACCCCTTTTGCCAGTCTGTTACGCAATCTGGGCATTTTGTTTGGTCTGGGATTTGGACTCAGCTCCCCAATGTATGCAGAAATGTGCAAAGGGAAGCCAAAACAAGGGCTGATCTTCCACTTCAGTTGCATCTTTTTTTCATTGTTAGTCCTGCACCTGTTTGATTCCTTTGAACTACCTGCTGACCAGGAGATCCTCTTTTACACCCTCTCATTCTGTAAGTGCGCTTGTGCCCATATCTGTGCCGTGGCCCTGATCCCATACAGCATTTTCTGCCTCCTTCAGCCGACAGACAAGAAAGATTTATAAGGAAAAAATGTCCTGCAATTTAGCTACTTTGGACATGTATCTTCAACTCTGAAGACTAAAGGTTTATAAACTAAGATATGTTGTTGTCTGTTTTGTAGATGACTAAACAGAGCCTTAATCCCTTCCATACACGGATGAATATAGCTGCCTTCAGACAGAAATGATTTGATATTGTGGCTGGATGGACAGGGAGCAAAAGCAAAGATATATTTTAGCCAGAAAAGAAACTGGAGTGGTATCTGGGATGTCTCTTAGAAAAGCTTCTGATGAATTCCAACCAGAATAGATGACTAATTTGCCTACTAGTTTGCAACAAAGCCAGAAACAGTTACAATCACTTGTAATAGTAGGCTAGAATTATTTGCTGCATTTGCATTGTCTGCTTCCCTTGCCCGTCCCAGGCATTCTAGTTCCTTTTCCATATTGATCACAGATTTCCAAACACCCCCCCCCCCCTTTCATGTGAATGTTTGTGCATTTATCTCCAACCAATGTCAGGCACAAATCTTGCTTTTCATCATTTTCTTATCACTTTGGACCATATTTAATCCTAGATGAGAAACGATGGATGAAAACTAATCAAGGAGAGAAGCAACCTAGAACTGGGAAATTTCCTAACAATGAGAGCAATAAACCACTGGAAAAGCTTTCCTCCAAAAGCCTTGAGTGCTCCATCACTGGAGGTTTTTAAACAGAATGGACAGCCATTTGTCTGAAATGGTATAGGCCAGGGTCTCCTGCTTGAGCAGGGAGTTGGACTAGAAGACTTCCAGAGATCCTTCCAACTCTATTATTCTATGTTCTAATCAATTTACTGTCCATTCTGATGTTGTAATGGAGGCTTTTTCTTCTACTTGTAATCATATGCTTGGTACAGCCTAAGCAGAACCATAAATCATCAGGCTGATTCAGGATTAAATTTATATACCATTTTTAAACACCTAAATAGTTTGGGCACTTTCTCAGACTCACATTTCTGTGCCTGATTTTCAGAAAGTGATTCATAATCCTATCATGGTACTTCTTCCACAAAGTCATGTACTAAACACTTGTACATAAGCAGGTGAACTATACAGAACCAGGCTGCTATATAAAAAAAGCTTATGCACTTCCCTCTCATTAATATTATGTTGCCTGGTAGTGCAGTGGTTAGAATGCAGTATTGCAGGCTAACTCTGCTTACAGCCAGGAGTTTGATCTCAATGGGCTCAATACTGATTCAGCCTTCCATCATTCCGAAGTCGATAAAATGAGGACCCAGATTGTTGGGGGCAAGATGATGATCCTGAGATATAACAGGGATTTAAAACTATCTTTCCAATTTGGTGCTTTCCAGACGTGTTAGGAATACAAATTCCAAAAAGTACAGCCAACTGGGCCATGCTGAGAACTCTAAGTATACCAGTCGTCATATATTCAGAGGCGGCCAGATTAGGCAAGACTGAGCAAAAAATTATGCCAGTTAAACTCCTTTCCAAATGGTTCAGCAGAAGACAATTTGGGGAAGACAAGATACACTATTAGAAACAAATATATCAGCAAACATCTGTAGTGCTTAATTTGTGATACTGAAGCATCACAAATGTTATGGAACATATATCATAACACATCTCTGAAAAATGCAATTCTTCTCTATACCAAAAAAAAATGGTTTATGATGTTTCTTTCTACAGCCATACAACAAAGTTTCCAGACATGCTTGTTTTACATACCACACCTCTCTTACATATTTTATCTCTTTCATTTCTAGTAATATCCCTCTTTGCAGTATTAGACCACTGATAATTCTTTTCTGCTGATACTGGCACGCTCAAAAAACACAGAAAGAGAAATTATTGTATTATTAAATAGTCCTTGAGGAACAATTATGGCTGAATCTTTTGCTTCTTCCCTAATTGCACTATTGTCCAGATGCCCAGTCATTATTCCGAGTTCTATTTGCTGGTGAATGCCTGAAGAAGGGCCTCTACTTCTGATCGTTGGCTCATCTTTGTAGCTTTGCCCTGATAGCGCCCATGTTTCCCTGCTCCTTTTCCTTCCAGTAGTTCAGCAACTCTTGTGGGAAGAACAACAAAGAGGTGAATCAATATGTTCAGTTAGATTAGATTTCCCTTACTCATCAGTCGGTCAACTGACAAAACAACAGACTAGAGCTCCATTCTCAATGGTCGCCAAATTAATAGCTTGATTGTACTTCAACTGTTTTGAATAACTCACCTGGGACCCAATTTCTCCACTGCTTCTGGAGGTCCTGCCAGCAAAAACAGCCCAGCTGCTTTTTCATCTCCCACAGATAAGAAAAGAAGAGTTTCCTGTTGAAATGATAGTGTTTAAGATCTAATGCTGCTAAACAAATTCTTTACAAGTTGCTCATTGCTCAAGGGTCCCACTGTACAGGAATATTTAAATCAGGATTTAAATTTCTGGTAGTAAGTCAAATACATTAGCAGGCTCCCTGCAAGATTTATGTTTTACTAGTTTAATTCTTAACAGCCATTTCAAGGTCTTCAGAGAAACTGTGCTTTGCAATTACAACTTTATTTTGTTAAGATAAGATCAGTATGATTTGATTCTCATTTTTTTAAAAAAAAACTGCGAATCAGTGGAGGACTAATATCTATTTCCGTGTCATATACTTTTTTTTTAATCAAAGTACTAGAGCACTAGTTGGTAAATAAAGTCTGTTCATACTTATAGAAGGACCAAGTACAACTTTAGTATTTGAATCAAGCTTCAGACACACAAAGAACTGATCAGCAAGCTAGCAAAGTTTCTCACCCTCTTGAATGTTAACTATTAAGTCTGAAGTTAGTGAGATACTTTCTTCATCTCTTTTGCTTCCACATCTTTATTTGGTAGAATCTCAAGGATAAGAATACCAGAGAATACTTAATTTGGGATACTTCTATGTTTAAATCTGATCATTATTCCATTTTAAACCTTAAGCTATAATTTCTATAATCAGTTACCTCAATTTTGCACTGATTTGAAACCATGTTCTAAAGCCCATAGCAAAGATGTCAAATGCCTATTAGACTATTTATAATAAGAAAAATTATATATAGATGGTCCTTACTTAATTATGCGTCCTCGACATGACCAAACTTGAGACCATTTCTATCATAAATCAGTGAAGTCATAAATGTGACTGGACCCAATTTTATGATCGACCAGTTTTACTGCAATTATTAAACAAATCACAAGATCGTAAACAAATCCAGCTTCCCCAATTGACAATTCTTACTGGAAACCATTCAAAAAAGTCACAAAACAGTCATTTGATACAAAACACTGCCACTGGTTGTAAATGCATATTGGTTGCCAGGCATCCAAATTGTGACCATGTGGCTGTGTGGGTGGTGATGCAACAGTCGTTAAGTGCAAGAACAGATCATAAATCACTTTTCCTGAGTTCATTGTTTCTTTCAACCATTGTTTAAAAATGGTCATTAAGTCAAGAACTACCGTAACTAGGATTGTCAATTCCATCACTAAGGGACATGGTCACAAAGTGTGATCATGCATAGGCTTATAATAGCAGTTGCAGCGGTTCCAGTTGTGGTTGTTCGACAAATCCCATGCTGTTACAGTGTCCCCCAGTTACATGATTTCAATTTACAACCACCTGCCATCTTTCCCATCTATTTTGTTTGTTGGAAGCCAGCTGTGAAGGTCGCAAATGGAGAGCACATGACCACAGGATATTGCAACCCTCATCATTGTGAACTGGTTATGAAATGCCCGAATTGCCATTACCTGACAATGGGGAACACTACAACAGCGACACATTATCAGGCACAGTCATAAATCTTCTTGTTTGGTACTGTTATATTTCAAATGATCATGGAACAAATGTATCAGAAACAGGAACCTCCTTTAAATTTAAAATAGGAAATCTTCAACAAATAAATATCTGTTTTAAAAATTAGAGAAACAAGAAAAGACTCACCCCAGAGCCAATTTCATTTGCAATTATATTCATGAACTCAGAGTCACCATCTTTCCTGTAGAGAGGAGAAAGATATTCCATGATCCCCTAAGAAAAATAGAAAAATTCTTTCCTATTTTAAATTTTTTTTATAAGAAATAAGTCCAAAGTTCCACTCTCATACCCCTCTCTGTAACAGATCTATTGGACACACAAAGAGTGCCTGGATTGGTTTGATAATTTAACCTGTATTAACTTCAGTCTTTTGGAGATTTAAAATATAACACACTTTTGCTTGATGGAGCTTTAAAGGATTTATTATTAAAGTAAAAATAGAGTTCTCAAGATACTAAAATATTCTTGTTGACAAAATTAAATATCATTTCATGTTTGTGGGTGTATGGGAGATGAGGGCAACTTCAATTATCTTGAATTTCCCCTTATTTAAGACATTTGTTGGTTCCACCATACTAATATTGTCAGACTGGTGTTGACTCTTAGCAAACTTATAAATAGATTTTTCTCATGCTGGTCTGCCAAGCTTAAACATGAGGAGTCTTTTCCCTCACCTGTGTAAGACAAATACTGGCTGTTGAGCTGTGGTGTTTTTGAAGTTCTGCACTGTAAGAACAGCTAAATCTCTTAGCAAATTCACATTATTCTGAAAAAAGAAGTACATCATGGATGCGTTACACTCAATCAATTGCTACACTTAGCAAAGATTAACTGACTGAGGAAATGACTGAGCAGGGAAATTCCTAGCAAGGTAAAGAAGGACAAGGATGCAATAAATGTTACTGAGCTTCTCCATGATCAAGCTGTAGTCTACCCATCTGGATACTAAATCACATGTAATTTTGTGCTGAGAGAACAGACCTTGGATAGTCCTGAAAGGCAAGTAGGTATAATCTGCCTGCAACTGGTTCTCAATCTCATCTTTCTAGAGGCTGGACAACATCCTTCCAGAACTATCCTGAAAATTGCAGTCATAGTCACTATCATTCCTAACCAACTCACTTCCTCAAACCTGGTTTCCATATTCCATTACTAAAGATGCTTTTCTGTAAACTGCTTACCAATGTCTTATTTTAACATAAAGTTGATGATGTATCTTGCTGTGGTTCCTGTAAAGCCAGGCTGGGAACTTTCCATGACAGAAATTGAAGTGACAAAAACCTACCTTCTGAAGCAGCTTCAGAGAGCTCTGCAGCCTTTTCACAGCTTCTACATGTTCTTCGGGACCATTCCTAAAATACAAAGGCAACCACAGGATTCAGGAAATACTATATAGTATCTTACTGAGAGTAAGCTTTGAGGAGAAATGTGAGTGGAGCAACTTGTATTAATAGGGGATGCAGAACTGATTGTAATAGGAATTGCTGTATGATTTAGGAACATTTTTTTTTCAGCTTAGGACCAATTGTTCAGAGGCTTACATTATTTATCATGAACTTTAAATATACTTAAATAAAGTATTTGTTCCTTAAGTAAATAATTAACCTGCGTGTCACTGATTCTGGATTTGAGAAAAATCTCAAAGCTTTTCCTTCTACTGCTTAAGTGGAATTCTCAGGCCAATAAGTCTGAAATAGTTTCTCTGTGACTGGGTATAGAGGGGCCCATTTGTGATATACAGAAAATGGAATACTTGCTTAAGCAGTGATGTCATGGCCTTTTCAGTGGCATGGCTTCGATCCAGACTTTTCAGCACCCGATTACCAGCCAGAAAAATTAAGTTGGTTTTGTTCTTTTTCCCCTTTTCTGTACCCAAGAGCTTAATGACCTTTCGTACAAACAAACATTGAGTCAGATTAAAAGATTTCTACAAACACAAAGAGGCTATTTTTGTTCTATAGGACAGCCTGACATGCACATCTGCATGCAATTGAATGCAATTCAATTTATAAAACTTTGCATGTGGAGCCTCACCTGCAGGTCACTGAGATTGGAGACATGTGTTCCACAACACATATTGGCATCAATACCTTCAATGCTTATTATCCGAACTGGCCCAGTATGATCATCTGGCAAGCCACGGCTCCTTACCTGTAATACAATATCTAGTTAGAGAAGAATACAAAGTAGTTTCTTTTTACACTACTGCAGCCCAAACTTACCATCTCAACTTCAGGATCACCCACAGCAAACTCTCGTACTATCACAGGGACTCGAGCTCGAATTTTTTCATTCACACTCTGTTCAAGCGCTGTCACCTGATCTACTGTCATTGACGAGGTGTTTAGCTCAATAGTACTTCGCTGACGGCCCAGCTCCCTACAATGGGCAGAGAAAAGCAATATAATATATCCTCCTTATTTGTTAGCGAGAAAACATAGATCCACAAAGCGTCTTCTTGGCCATTCCATTAGGGTGGCATTAGGGTGGAATGAAATGGAGGTAGAGAATTACATAGCTTATTAATCCTTGGGCAAATATGAACTGTGGTAAAATCAGTTTTTAATCTCATTCACTAGTTTACCATTCTATATCATTCATTCATTCATTTATTCATGGAATTTCTAGGCTCTCCAATTCCGGAACAACTCTCTGAAGCTTTTCAATAAAAAAAGATAAAAATAATATCGAATTGAATGAACAGTAGCCTGAAGGGAACAAACCCAAAAACATTCATGAATGATATAGAAAGGTCCAAAGATACATTGACCCAAGGCTCAGGAAAACAGCTGGTTTTTTAAGGTTCATGGACAGAGGGGATTGTACAAATACCAATATCTGTAGGCTGCAGGATGCTATTCCAGAAGACAGGGGCAACAATAGAGAAGGCTGGTTTCTTGAGTACTGTTTGATGACTCTTTAATGGCACTGCTTGATTGACCAAAAACAAGTCAAGTGTTGGATCAAAAGAGACAGGCAGACACTATAGCTAACAGTCCCTCAAATAACTACCCTCTACACTAGGGGTCACCAACTTTTTGGACCTCAGGGACCACTAAATTCATAATTTTAAATCCTGCGGACCACTAATATGATTTTTTTTAAAAAAGATAAATAGTATTTAGTGCAATATAAAAAAATGCAAATAATTTTTCTGCGGACCACCAAAATTTTCTCATGGACCTTACTGGTTATCAGTGCAACTTAAGGAATGCAATTGTTACAAGGGCATAGCAACATTTGCCTAGCACTGGAATAGCTGCCACTTCTGTATAGACTTTAAGGGCAGGCCCAAATACAGCACACTGCAAAGTCCACTTGCAAGATGACCAAAGCATATATAATTATAAGGAGGGCCTCCTGAGCCTTGTAGAAGTACAATTGCACAAGACAAATCTTCACAAAGCCCTTCCTGACCAGAGGTGCCATTTGCTATTCCAGCAGGACTTGAGATTCCAAGAAAACTCCCAGACTGCTCCAGTCTGAATGGGGCACTGCAATCACATTTAGAACCAGAGGTAAGAGATCTAGTGAACTGGGTAGTCCAAGAACCCACATCTTGATCTTGCTAAGGTGAAACCCCCATCCAGATTCCCATAGCCTCCAGGCATTAAAACAAGACTTTGACAGCATTGCTTGGATAGCTGGAGTCAAGATGTACTAAGCCATCATTATTAACCTCTCTCGGTGGCCTCATATAAATATTAAACAAAAAGGATGACAGTGTCAAACCCTATGGCATCCTGTACATCAGGAGCTTCAGACTTGACCTCTCAACTCCCATCAATATTGAGTGGACCTGGTCATGGGGAAATTAGAAGAACCACCATAGGACAATGTCTTTTACCCCCATTTCTTGCAGCCAGTCTAGAAGAATACCATGATCAACAATATCAAAAGCCACTGAGAAATCCCAGAGGGCCAGAATGGTTGAACCATTCTTGTCCACGCTTCACCATAGATCCATGATGGTGAACCTACAGCACGTGTGCCAGAGATGGCACACAGAGTCCTCTCTGCTGGCACATGCGCCATTGCCCCAGGTCAGATCTCCTTGGCATTTTTTTCATGAGCTTCTGTTTCCCTGCAAATGACGAAACAGAAGCTCACGAAAGAAAAAGATCTTGCTGTGCTGCCGGTGTTAGGATGCCTTGCCTCCCACCGGCCAGCTGGTCTTTGGGTCTCTGCTGTGCATGCACACATGCACCTTTCAGTTTGGACATGCGTGTGCACACAGTTTGGGTACTCGGTGTCTAAAAGGTTCACCATGACTGTCCTAGAACCATCAGTTTCAGTGATTCTATTGCCAATCTGGCAATAGACTCAAGCAGCTCAGGCAGCATAACAGAAAGACCAGCATAGCAGCAAACTCAGTTTGCGCCTCAGAATACAACATCACTCACAAGGATTCACTTCTGTTTACATGCAGTTCAGAGCTCTGAAAGCCATCAAGGCTTCCCAAATAATAACTGCCTTCCTAATTCCACCAACTGATGGATACCAAACACAAACCAAGTGAGTACACCTCTGGGAGGAAAACCACTTGGGTCCACCAATTCTGTTATACAGATATGCATATATGTATACAAGACATGTATTTGTCTTGGAAGCAGACAAACTGCTCTACTATTGTTTCTTAACAATAATCATATCCCCTATAATCCTGAAGATAATATTCTGTCATCAAAATTAATAACAGTGATATATCTATCTTCTATTAATCGTCTAGCTTGGTGGGTATCACTAGATTCATACCTTGTCAGACTTTCCAATTTGATTATGGTGCATAGTTACATATTCTTTTTTAAAAGAGCCTTGGTAGTACAGGGGTTTAAGACACCCTGTTATTAAGCTGGTTATTAAGACCAGCTGCCTGCAATTACTGCAGGGTTTGAATCTCGCCAAGGCTCAAGGTTGACTCAGCCTTCCATCCTTTCTAAGGTAGGTAAATTGAGGACCCAGTTGTGGGGGCAATAAGCTGACTTTGTATAAATATACAAAAGGATGAAGGCTATTGCTGAGCACATTGTAAGCCGCCCTGAGTCTTCGGCGAAGGGCGGCATATAAATCAAATTAAAAAAAAAAAAAAAAAGGATTCTGATTTAAGATGAAAGCAAAATATTCTTTATTAATCACAATATTTAATAACCATTAGATTTGTGGTTGTATTTTTACATCAGGTAGAAAAAAAGAATTTTTTCAACCTTTTCTTTAAAAATTACTTGCATTTTTAAGACAGAAAATGATGAAATTCTGTTCTTCCCAATGGCTTTAAGAAACATTGAAAGTATATTTTTGTAGCTGGCAGGAGGTGGAGAGGGAGGTTTGTTTTTTGCTTTGTGTGTAATTTTAAAAGAAGAAAACATAATTCATTAACTAGAAATAGCTAAAGTAACATCACATGCAAGCATGTAATTTTACAAAATTCCTTAACAGGTTACATGTACAAAAATCAGGGGAAAATCTAAAACAGCAAGCCAAAAGTTGTGTCCATGAGATCTCCAATTTATAATCAGTCTGAAGACAGACATGGCAGACTGACATCAATTTATATATTTGGGGAAAAGTCTGCTGAATCCAAATTACCTAACTCATTGGGGTGAATAAAATCTTCAAAACTTAAAAACCTATTTTCGGGTAATAGAATCTTACATTCAGAATGTGCTCTGTCAGTCATTTCATCAAAGAAAGGTAATTGTCCTAAAATAAAATATCGTCAACTGTGGATACTTATTTTGTAATAAACCATATGGTTATCTGTTCTTTTTACAAAACATTTTGTTAATAACGATCCTACAGGCTTTAAGTCTGTCAGCATTACCTGAAAGAGTTACATTTCTACAGATTTTGCAACTTATCTCTGCTCTAGTTTTAGAATCCACAAGCAAGAAAGACAAGGAGCAAAGTTGCATCCCGCTTACCATGATGTTGTCTTGTATCCAAACATCAGATCTGCAAGTGCTGTGATGAGATGTTGTCCTGAAACAGATAATTATTCATCAGCTATTCAAACCTTTTCTATTGGGTTTCTTTAAGTATTCTATATTATATCACCCAAACTGATGGATATCAGATGCATCAATTCTTCACCTGAATGCTGTTGCATATGGTCAAACCTCCGGTCCCAGTCCAGCACCAGTTGTACCTTAGTTCCTGGGTCAAGTGGTGTCTGGATAAAGTGTAAAGCATCTGGACCTTGTCGGATGACTCTGAGAACAGGGATATCATTAATAAATCCCCGGTCATCAGGCTGGAATGAAGAAATTTAAAGTTACAATCCCAGCTTCTGAGGGAAAAAAAACATCCTCAACAAAATGTATAAAAGAGACAAACTTAATTCACTAAAACTTTATTTGTGGGTAGGCTCTAGGAAAAAAAGTAACTAATAAATGCTATCCTTTCCACAGATATTCCAAAATAAATGTTATTAATACAAGAGCAACAATGAATGACTGCACAAATAAAGGCATTGCTCAATTATTTTTATAATTGATATAATTATTTTTATAATTTTACAATTGAGCAATTTTACTTTTATAAGTAAAAATTTCAATTATTATGAATCTCATACCAAAGGTTTTTAGGAAGAATTACAGTCACTACAGAATTTTCAAACTACCATATATAACACAATGTATACAATCCAAGCCTATCTTTTTATGTTAAAACTGTTTTCCATGGAACTTATTCCTGAATTACCTCATTAAATATTTAAATACAAAAACATATATAAAAGTAAAAAGAAAATCATGTATTCCTAACAAGTATATTGACCATTTAAATTTTGGTTTTAAAAACATAAAGTTAGACTTAATATCAAGCAACATACTATGAAATATACAATCATTTACAACTCTAAAATACTTTGAGAACAATTATTAGTACCTGCCCTCCACCCTCTGGGAAAAGAATAGTGTCTTCCAGGATGACATGGAAACCTTGCAAAATGTTCTTTCTATTAATTTCTGTAGATAATTTTGCTGAGCAGCAGGAGACCACCTGGGTGGTAAACTTAAGAGAAAAAGGAAGGGATCTTTAGTTTTGGTGGAGGTAACTAACACATAGAAAGTTGAGATTAAAGAAGTGAATCATGTGAAAGCCAAGAGTGATGAACAATGAGAAAAACTATGTTTTTAACAAAAACCTTCTTCTCTGTAAATTCCTGGGAAGAACTGCATGCATTTTGTTACAATTATTACATTCAGCAAATGATGCAACTTTTATCCCAAACTTCTATTTTAATATTTCTGTACATTTTAATTCCATACCATGTATATACCAGCTTCATAACCCACAGTAAATCCATTTTATTATACATATACTTTTTAAAACGTCCAATTTCACTTCCAGTTGTCTTCTAAAATGCTTCACAGATTAGAAATCTCTTAAAATGAGACCAAATACTATAGATGTGGCCTCTTGAGAGGCACTTTCCTATAATTAGTGTGTCATAACTCTGCTCATAAACAAGTTATTCTTGGGCAAAGGGCAGTTAAACCTCACTCTTCCCTTTTGCTTTCCTGGGCTTTCCTTTCCTACTGACATACAATGTATAATCAATTGATTTTTATATCAGCATATTGTATTATGCAAGTAATTAAATATATTCTGCAATACATTACATTGTCCTATTAGCATTAGTTCCTCGAGAGTAAGCTATAATAAGGAATGGCAACAATTGCTTGAGAAAGAAACCAGGCCTACAGGAACCATCTGCTATATATAGAACATTATTCTATATTCATAAAACAAAAATATGAAAAAAGAACAATGGGCTGTCCTGGGCTCAATAAGCCCTGTAGATTTCTAAAATTCCGCATCTGTTGGATACAGAAAAATCTAATGGGAGGAGGAACCCTGCAACTGTTCGTCTCAATTTGTGCTAGCAAAAGGGGTGTGATTAGGCGCAGTCTTTCCAATTCTGAATAAAGCCGCTTGTCTCCAGTTTTGGAGACAGGAAAGATTACAGCAAGAATCCTTTTCCAGTGCAAACGGACGAAGAGCAAAACTGCAAACGCTCATCCGCCCCGAATACCGGCAATGAGCCTGGCAGCCATCAGAGCCACCACTCCCACGCCTCTTTCCGCACCTGCTGAACCCAGCTATCCCGCTGGCACATAAACGCCATGCAGTCACTGAAGTCAGCCAACCAGGGGACACGAACGATCGGCGTCTTTTTTGCTCTCTGTCTCTCTCTCTCTCTCTCTCTCTCTCAAACAGCTTTAAGATTTGTGGACTTATACTAGCATAGCTGGCTGGAGAATTCTGGGAGTTGAAGTCCACAAATCTTAAAGTTGAAGACCTCCGCTCTACAACAACGGACATGCGCGACTGGCGGCCTAAGGCAGGCAGCGAGGGACATAATAGCTAACGTTTTTCAAAGCTTTGCTATGTGGGGAGGGCGTGGCCAACGGTGGCCAATGAGCTGCTTGTGTTTCGTGACCTAAGTATTAACTTTAAAGACCGCGCAGCCGGGACGGGAGCAAGGTGGCAGGTCGAGCTCGGTGAAAATGTTCACGAGGCTATATCCTCTCATTGCGGGGGGAGGGGGGGGAGGAATGGCGGAATGAAACATCTTTGCTGCTATTAAACAAAATAATAGTCTAAAGAAACTTTAGAGGTCTTCTATTCATCGCCCTGCTCAAGCAGGAGATTCTATACTATTTCAGACAAATGGCTGTCTAAGACAGTCTCTTTTAAAAACTTCCCCTCGCACATATGTGCTAGTTGTTCCCAACTCTAGAGGGCGGTGCTCATCTCCGTTTCAAAGCCGAAGAGCCAGCGTTGTCCAAAGACTTCTTCATGGTCATGTGCTTACTTCCCTCCATGTGGATATAGTTCCATTAAGAATTACTGTGGGTGTGTGGTTTGTCAGCCAATTATGAATCCATCTAGTAGTGATGCTGTCTATCCCACATTTTTCTAGCTTACGAAGAAGTAGATTGTGGTCTGCTTTGTCAAATGCCTTAGTGCATCCTATGTTGATTTCGCTGTCATATCCATTATTGTTGTTTAGTTATAGTTATTGTAGTTGCCCACTCCAAAAATTCTGAGTGGCTTACAACATCAAATATACATAATTTAAAATCATTAATGTAAAGTGTAACAGCCTAGACAAAAACAGCAGTAACAATTCATGATTTAGAACGATCTGGAACTGAACACACTCAAAACCGTAGAAATGGTGGTAGACTTTAGAAGAAACCCTTCCATACTTCCACCTCTTACAATACTAAACAACACAGTATCAACAGACCTTCAAATTTCTAGGTTCTACCATATCGCAAGATCTAAAATGGACAGCTAACATCAAAAACGTCATCAAAAAAGCACAACAAAGAATGTTCTTTCTGTGCCAACTCAGAAAGCTCAAACTGTCCAAGGAGCTGCTGATACAGTTCTACATTTCTACAATTCTACAGTTCTACAATTATTGAGTCTGTCATCTGCACCTCTATAACTGTCTGGTTTGGTTCTACAACCCAGCAAGACAGACACAGACTTCAGAGGATAATTAGAACTGCAGAAAAAACAATTGCTACCTGCCTTCCATTGAGGACCTGTATACTGCACAAGTTAAAAAGAGGGCTGTGAAAATATTTACAAACCCCTCACATCCTGGACATAAACTGTTTCAACTCCTACCCTCAAAACAACTCTATAAAGCACTGCACATGAGAACAACTAGACACAAAAACAGTTTTTTCCTGAACTCTATCTCTCTGCTAAACAAATAATTCCCTCAACACTCAAACTATTTACTAAGTCTGCACTACTATTAATCTTCTCATCATTCCCATCACCCATCTCCTTCCACTTATGACTGTACAACTGTAACTTTGTTGCTTGTATCCTTAAGATTTATATTGATATTGTTTCCCGATTGCTTATTTATACCCTATGTACCTTATGATTCTTGATGAACGTATCTTTTCTTTTATGTACACTGAGAGCATATGCATCAAGACAAATTCCTTATGTGTCCAATCACACTTGGCCAATAAAAAATTCTATTCTATTCTATTCTATTCTATTCTATTCTATTCTATTCTATTCTATTCTATTCTATTCTATTCTATTCTATTATTTTATTCTATTCTATTCTTGCTTGTTCTTTCGTTCTTGTGAAAACATAGAGATCTCGCTTCACAAGCTTCCAGCCTTGGGATTAAGCAGTACTTTTAGATTGGGAAAGCCCCTTGTTGAGGATGTTATCAGAGACCGATTTTGTATATCATGTAAAAAGAGATTGCTAATAGAAATCACAATTGATTACACTTATATAGCAGGATAACATAATGTATAGCCCTGGGACTGGAGATATCAGAATGTACTAAATGACAGCAAAGATTAGAATTTTATCAATATATTTGTTGTGTCAAGTGATCTGGATTTTTTGCAGCCCAGATCCATTAGCCCAATAGTTTATGGTTCCTATAGCATTTAGCTTAATATTGTAATCAGGAGAGTTAGGCGGCATATAAATTGAATAAATTTGTATAGATCAGTGTTTATCAGCACCCAGTTTTAAGATGTGTTGACTTCTACTCAAGAGAATGCTGGCTGGGGAATTCTGGAAATAGTAGTCCATCCTAAAATTGCTAAATTCTCCTAAAGTTGAGAAACCTTTGTATAGGCCATGGGTATCAAACTCGATCACATGACGTATTGTGACGTATCGTGACATTTTTTGCCTTTGCAGAGCTGGGTGGACGTGGCCTACACATAACGCATGCAGCCCATGGGCCACCAGTTTGACACCCCTGGAATAGAGAAAGAATTAAAAGCATGGAGAAACCATAGTTGAGGATTAGATCTCCATTTTAGTTCCCATTTTTAAGACGAGAGAGTTGTTCCTGCTGGCCTCCATATTTGTAGCCCAGATCTGATAATCCTAGTAAATGATTCTGCTATAAAATCACAAAAGGTTTAGGACTGTCACCAAGAAGCATGCTAAAGGAAAGATAAATATGCTCCCCAATTAAGCTAAAACAAGGGACCCATATAATTTTCTGCTAGGGAAATGGGTCACTAAAATAGTGTTGTTGTTGTTGTTATTTACTTTATTCATTAAACATGAAACTTAGTCAACTGAACATTTAAAAATGTATCACAAATATTATTAACTGGCACTGATGGTTGATACGGGTTGCTGCCAGCATCCTAGGAATTGACCAAGTATTTTCTTAAAATATACGATGTTCCAAATAGCGCAGTTAGTTCTGCTGGTGTTATTGCAGGAAACTGCAATGATGTACTGTATAAAATTCTTGGACATGGTGCCAAGTGTCCTGGTGACAATGGGTATCACTATCACATTTCATCCATAATCGGGTACTTTCGATGGCCAGGTCGCAATATTTTGTGATTTTTTTCTAGTTCTTTTTCTTTGACTCCAGCGTCTCCTGGCACAGCGATATCAATTAATTGTACGCTTTTGATGACTGTGATATTTGGCGTGTTGTGTTCTAAATGATGATCCATCTGTATTTGAAAGTTCCACAAGATCTTGACCTTCTCATTTTCAACAACTTTTTCCACTTTATGTTCCCATGACTTTTTGGATACAAGTAAGTCGTATTTTTTACATAATGCCCAGTGGACTAGTTTAGCAACTCAGTCATGTCTAGCTTTGTAATCAGTTTGCGCGATTTTGCTGCACTTACATATTAAATGTGACAGTTTCAACTTTGTCATTGTAAAGTCGACAGTTTGGATTGTTGGTGGTTTTGCTAAAAGTCCTTTTCCTTTTTTATTGCCTAATTCAGTCTATTTATGTTAATTGATATTAACTTTATTTCTTCTTCCATGATTTTACTTATAAATGGATTTTGCTGTTCTGGTCACTCTTATCTTTCTTGCTTCTTTTGGCTTTGCTCCTTCTCTTATTGCTATTTCCTCCCAATCTCTTGCATCTTCTTTTTGTTGTATTTCTCTTTCTCCAATGGGTTCTTCTGTCCTCTTTCCTCTCTCATTCTCTCTTCCTCTTGTGGTCTCAAATACTGATCATAAAATAGCTCAGCCTTCTCTATTGAATCTAGTCTATGTCTTTGCTCCTGCCAAGTCACCAATATTCCCTCTGGTATCAGCCATCTAAAGTTTACTCCCTTTTTAATTAAAATACCTAGTTCAGACCTTCCAACTTCTCTCAACTATTTTTTTTCCTTCAATTTGTGCATCACCTGGTATTGCAAAACCAATGAACCAGACTTTTTTCTTTTCCACAATAGTGATGTCAGGCGTGTTGTGGGCCAGATGTCTGTTTGGATTTGAAAGTCCCACAAGATCCTGACCTGTTTATTTTCAAGAACTTTGTCAATGTGGTGTTCCCAGTAATTTTTGCTGCATTTGAACCCAACTTCTGGCAAAGCTTCCAATGTATGATTTTGGCAACTCGATTATGATGTTGTAGATATGCATTCAGTTGTTGTTGTTAATCTTCAATTTGATTCACAATCTGCGATTAATAAAAACTTAACAATTCAAGTCCCACCCAAGGACCTAAGAGCTGTTAAGATAGCATTTGAGTATACAGGCAGTTCCTAATTGTTTATTATTGTTGTTCTTATTGTTGTTTGTTGTTGTTACTATTAATAATAAACTTCCATTGAATTCACAGTCTGGGACTGGTAAAAACTTAACAGTTCAAGTCCTAACCAAGGTCCTAAGAACTGTTAAGGTTGTTGTTGTTGTTGTTGTTGTTATTCATCTTATTCAATAGCTGAGTATTTCCAGATGGTTGCCAAGCATGACTGAATTTCAAAAATCAAGTAAGGATGGCTACTCAGTGAAATAGAAGGGGCAACACACAGGTATAAATGTCTCCTTGAAAGTAAAATTAGCTAAAGCTGAAGCTTCTTTTTGCTTATTATCACAATTTTTTTAAGCGTTTCTTTGTATTTATCCAGATTACAAAGACTGCTACCTGAGTCTCATTTCTTTCTACACTTAATAGGAATGGATTACAGCAAGTCTGCTAGGTCTTGGGCCAAAGAGTTGTTTATTAAAGTCAACCAGAAAAATTACACTGCAATAATTTAACACTCCTTGAAAACAAATTCATTTGAAACACTTTGCCAGATCACACCTGCTTTCTTGTTCTAGGCCTTAGCCAGTATGTGGCCTAGTCCCATGTCACTGCTGACTGTAGCAGAAGTAAACTAAGGTAGCAGTCCAGTCAGAGAGATGTGCCCTTTCAGCTGTCATCCTAAAATTATTAAGCACATACAGAGAAAGATTAGTACTTTCATTGAGAGAGGAACATACTCCAAATTTATGAAATGAAATACTTTTAAAATGTATATATCAACTTCTGCAAGTTCTGGCACAGTGGCTTGAAATACTAGTGAAGCACAAGCCATATTCCATCCCAGCTCTCCAGCCATGTTAATTTATAAATCTGACAGACTGATAGTATGGAGTCAAGCAAGCAGAACTTCAGAAATAGTTAAAGATGCTTTTTCCTACATACTTACATCAAGATCATCCATGGCTGGGGGTGGACCTTTCTTAGTGACTTTTTGCATGAGCTGTAAGGGAGGGAAAAAGGGGATTAAAGTAAACAGTGCTGATATTTAATATTGAGAAATATGGAGGATATTCCTCCCCAAAGAATATAGCTAAATAATTAAGAGTTATTTACATGAAAAGGTTATTAAAATATCTACTATTATTTGTATTAGTCAATGAATAACAGTATTGAATCCAGCTAACTAGATTTATGTTATTCTACTATGCTCTGTAAAAAGAGGGCAGGTTAGCATATATAGAGAACCTTTTTTGAAATCTCAGAACTAGGGAAAGGTCAATATTCTTTTCTCTCTTATTAGAGTCTTTTATCTTTTGATTTTACCTTTTACCTTAATGTGAACATAAATTTACAATATTCAATACTTCATGTATAAATGGTGCATAAATAATGCAAGAATTTATGGCATGTATAATAATAGCAGCACAATCCTGCGGTCAACTTCTAACCGAATCGGACTGACATCATTTTCGTTCTTCTCAGTTGCCACACTATATCGGGGGGTGGGGGTTGGGGGTTGGAAGACATTGCCAGATGCAACACCGATCTTTTTTGTGGGAACCAAGGTCATCCCTGGATGAAGAAATGGGAGTGCTTAAGGAGCCTGCCAAGTAACTTAATTGGACAATGTGACCAGTGATACTGGGGAGGGGGTCATTTATTATTTTAATTATACTGAAATCCCAGGGAGTATTTAGAGTTGGTTTTGCATTTAAATGTGCCAATATGATGTATCCAATAAAGAAGTACTTTAAGGAAGATTCCTGCCTTGGAGTTCTGATTTTCTCGTTAGTCAAAACCTTGACACCTGCTTTGGTAAATGGTGTTTGTCTTGCTATTACTTGTGACATTGCCAAATAGAACCATTGCATTTTGTATAAATATAAAAGCCTCATCATTCCTACTGTCACTATTATTTAGGACTATAATTGTGATACAGAATAGCAACTTCTTGCTTTCTCACACTTCAGTTTTGTTGATTCAGATAAGTTTCAGAATTCTGCCTTGATATTTGATAATTGTGCTCACCTCTGCATATTGTTCAACCATGGCTGCTTCCACCTCTTCATCTCCTTCCCAGTCTCTCCAGTTATCAAAGTCCACTGAGAGCCATGCTGGCTGCAAATAAGATGAACAATTGCTTACAGCATGATCCATCTTTGCCCTTATTACTGTTATTAAAAGTAGCATTTAAAAACCAAATGATAAATAAAGCAATGGCGTTCTATTTTGTTCATCTTTTCAACCAAACAGGAAAAGAACTGGTATTAAATCAGAATATATTTTACCAAATCAGCTACTTTCAACTGGTATAAAATCTCAACTAAGTCATATTAACTGCCCCCTTTGACTAAAAATCAAAAAGACAAGACAAAAAAGTTTTCTATGGATACTGTTAAGCAAGCAGAACTTGGTCTTACTGATATCCACATTTAATACTGGGATTTGGTAATATAAGTAATCCTTGTTTAGCAACTGCCCACTTTTATGACCATTCATAGTGATGAAGAAGTAACTTTGCAACCAGTCCTCATATTTACAACTTTTGCAGGTCTATAAGGCAAAGGAAAGCTGAAGTAAGATCATAAGCAGAGTTATGTTTTGCCTTAGAGACCACTTCACTTAATAATAGCATTGTCAAGCCCAGGGGTCTGCAACCTTAAACACTTAAAGATCCATTTGGACCTATTTCCCATAGAAAAGAAAACACCGTGAAATAGGAAATCCCGTGCCTGACTATTTCCTGAGCAGCCACAAAACTAGCATATGTAGTTGAATGAAACATTCTGTTTTCTTCTGAAACTTTTCTTTTCTTGGATTTATCCATGGTTGGCCATTGGGGATTGAAAAGCTCATTAAATCGCATGCCAGCGGGTGTCGCACATTGGTGGTTGTGATGCATATTCTGAGTGACAGGGAGCAGCAGCAGAGGGGTGAAGGAGCCACAAGCGGCTCCAGAGCCGCAGGTTGCTGATCTTTGGTCAAGCCCAATTGTGGTTGCTAAACAAGGACTACATGTATTGGTTCCTAATTAACCAGGGAAGATTAAAGGTGTCCTACCTTGAAATCTTCTTTGGTGAGACGTGACCATGGCACTTTGTCCTTCCATTTGCGTGTAAAGAGTGTGATGGACCTGCCTGAACGTTTATTTTGGGAATCCTGAAAGTGATTACATTGTAGTAGAAAAATGTCTGAGTTTTAATCAGTTAATTCTTCTATAAGTAACTTGTAATTGCAATTACATTTAAGTTAAGTTAGTCCTATAAATACTGATGCAATCCACATTTGAGGGCCACATTTTTGCTCTTATTTGCTTTGGAAGGTTCTCTCCATCCACAATAGTCATGGTGATATCTTTGCTTGGAAATAGAATAAACAAGAAGCCTGAGGACATCCCTGAGCCTTTTTCCCATATAGTTTAAATATATTTTAAAACTGTGAAAAATGTTGTTTGTACATCAGATTTTTTGTCAATAATTGGGAAAGATATCTAATGGAGAAGGGGAAAGGCAGAGCAGTACAAATTTCAAAGACCAGAAAGTACTGTTTTTAGCCCATATTTACACTTGTTATGCTTATATAATCCAGCCAAATGGTTGATTTATCTATATACCAGTCCCAAGCCTAGATAAATGGGGAGAGTTACAAAAAGCAATGATGAACTACCTTGTAAAAAAATCTCACCAAAACACTTTATGGCAATAGCTCAACATGACTCATATATGGATACCAACATTATCCAGCGGGTTACTGGAGAAGAACATGAACAATTCCGGATCTGCGCACTTTCCGCCGTGCCCTCAAAACATTCCTGTTTCAGCAGGCCAGCCTGGCCTAACTTTCCCTTTATATTGCTTTTTGATTTTATTTTAAACTGGGATGTCTTGAATTATCTAGGACCAGAGTGTTTAGTATATTTTAATTGATTTTTTATTAACGTTTGTATTACATGTATTTTTATCGTTCGCTGTTCACCGCCCTGAGTCCCTTAGGAATACGGCGGTATATAAATTTAATAAATAAATAAATAAATAAATAAATAAATAAATAAATAAACAAACAAACAAGCTTTTAGTAGTCAGGGTCTTTATAATGTTGTTGGAGGAAAGCCTTCACGAAACCCAATAATTGAGGGTGCCCAAGATGAAAGGGATCATCTACACTCTACAAAGTTATATCAAATTGGAACATAGAATGCTAGAGGCATGTCCCTTGGGAAATTCAAAATTGTAAAAAGAGAAATGATTAGTGTGAACCTAGACATATTTGGTATCAGTGAGTTACACTGAGCAGTTAGTGGTCAATTCAAATCAGATAGTTTATGGTTTATTTTACTGGAAATAATATAAGATGAAAAGGAGTGGCATTCTCCATAAGCAAACAAATGGCTAAATATTTTGAGAATCACAGAGCATACCGTGATTGCGTAATATTTATCCAAATTGAGACAAGCCACTCAACATCACTATACTACAAATCTATGCCCCAACTGGAGACTCAAATGCTGATGAAATTCAGCTTTTCTACAGTGAGCTTCAAAGTGCTCTCAAGCAAATACAAAAAAAGAGAGACTTTTTTATATTATTGGTGATTTCAATGCAAAGGTAGGTCAAGGAGGAATTGCACGAATAGTAGGCAAGTTTGGGCTAGGTGAATGGAATGAAGCTGGCAATTGCCTAATGCAAATTGCCAGGAAAATGATTTCATCTCAACTCCATGAACATGTGGCTTATTCAACACAAGTAATATTTACACATGGACAGCACCAAATGGACAACATCTAAATCAGATAGACTTCATTTTATGCCAAAACACTGAAATGGTTCAGTTGTATCGTTAAGACACTTCCTGATTGTAATTCAGACCATCAGCTATTAGTGGCTAAACTGAACCTCAAAGTGTGCAAAGTGAAAAGGTAATTTCTCCCCAAAATTCATTGTGAACATCTCACCTATGTATGTCATAGAAGTTGTAAAGAGGGTTGACTTGCTGAATTTAGAAGGAAAAACCCGAATGGATAGTGATGAGATCTGAGGTATCATGGAAATTGTTTGGAAGTATGTGTCACATGAAAAGCCAAAGAGAACAAACAAGCAAAGCCAAAGGTAATAAGGATGAAGTTTAAAAACTGAATACAATTTTCCAATGTAAAGCCAGGAAAGACAAAAATAGGCAGTGGAAAAAGCAGTGTCAACATCTGGAAGAAGCTAAAAGGAAGGAAAGGAACATACTAAGATTGCCGTACTGAAAATGATGCAACCCCGATTTTCAGCAGACCAAGGAACTGTTAAAGACTGCAATGGGAATATACTAAGTGACCAGCAGAAGATCAAAACAGGTAGAAAGAATATATGGAAGGACTCTACAGATGACAAAGATGACAACCCAATTAATAAAGAACCAAACATCTTGAAAGAAGTAGAATGGGTCATGGAGAAATTGCCAAACTGGAAAGCCCCAGGTATCAATGGAATACGTGCAGAATTACTAAGACCAGTGGCAGTTAACATCATCACTGCTGTGTCAAGAGATATGGACTACATGTCAATGGCCTTAGAACTGGAAAAGATCTGTTTTTATCCAAGTTGAAAAGAAAGCAATGCTAGGGACTGCTTCAAATATTGCATCATTGTATTGATTTGTCATGCAAGCAAAATTCTGTTAAAAATCATTACATCATTAAATGTCATTAATCAAAAGTTACCTGATGTACATCTGGCTTTAAAAAGGGGCACGGCATTCAATATCACATTGCTAATATTAGATGGATTATGGAAAAAGTATGTGAATATCAAAAGGGGCTTTATGCTTTATTGATTACAAAAAAGCTTTCGATTGTGTAGAACACAATAAGCTATGGGCAGCTTTGCATGATCTTGGTGTCCCAACATACCTGATTCATCAGATCACTAATCAGGAAGCAATAGTGAGAATACTTTATGATGACACAGATTAGTTCAGAATCAGTAAGGGAGTTAGACAGGGATGTACCATGTTTCCCGAAAATAAGACCCTGTCTTATATTTTTTGGAACCCTGAAATAAGTGCTTGGCCTTATTTTCAGGGAGGTCTTATTATTTTGGGGCGCATGGAGCAACATGGGGTTCCTCTTGCCATCTTACCTGATTTCCAGCTCTGTATATTTTCAGGAAGGGCTTATTTTCGGGGGGAGGCTTATTTTAGCACATGCACTCAAAAGCCTGATTGGGCTTATTATCAGTCTTATTTTCAGGAAAACAGGGTAGTTTATCACCTTTTTTGTTCAATCTGTATGCTGAAATGACCATGCAGAAATTAGATCTGGAACTGCTTGATGCTGGAGTAAAGACTGAGAGAAGAACCATAAATAATTTGAGGTACACAGATGATACAACACTATTGGATGAAAATAAAGAAGATCTAGAAAATCAAAGATGAAAGTGAAAAAGACACAGGACTGAATCTTAACTTCAGGAAAACAAAGATAATGACAACAGACACAGATGGATATGAGACATTTAAAATCAACAAGGAGAATATTGAATTAATTCAAGAATTTATCTTCCTTGGGTCCAAAATTGTTCACGATGGCAGTTCTACTCCTGAAATCAGATGCAGGATAACCTTAGGCTGCACTGCAATAATTAACATGAATAAGATCTGGAAAAACAGAGATATTGATATAAATACAGAAAGCAAGCTAGTTAGAGCAATAGTCTTCCCTATAATGATGCATGTGTGTGAGAGAAGGACACTAAGAATGGCTGATCAAAGAATTGACACCTTTGAACTGTGTCACTGGCATAAATTATTGTGTACATATGGACAACCAGAGTAACTAACAGAGAGGTATTAAATCATATAACACCAGACAGATCACTAGAAACTAAAATCATAAGATTACATCTTATTTATTTTGGCCATGTCATGTGTGCAAATTCATTAGAGAAAGCGATGGTGCTAGAAATGGTATGGTAGAACAAGAAGAAGGGGCAAGCAAAGGACTCTCTGGCTTGATACCATCACAGCTGATACAAAGTTGAACATCGAAAGAAGCTGTGCTCGACAGGGTGGCATGGAGAGCACTTGCCTATAAAGTCATCAAGAGTCAGATACGACTAAATAGTTAAAACAAACATAACGTATTTACACATACCAGCCCAGTGATGCCCTCGACGTGATGGCCCGGTGCCTGGAAGCGGTACAGGTCTGGATGGGGAGGAACAGGCTTCAGCTCAACCCGACCAAGGCCGAGTGGCTGTGGATACCGGCATCGCGGACTGAACGAGAGGTTCCATCTCTGACTATAGGGAGTGAGGTGTTGCCCCCTGTAGACAGGACATGCAACTTGGGTGTCCTTCTGGATTCATGGCTGGGTTTGGAGGAGCATATAACAGCCGTGACCCAGGGGGGCGTTTGCCCAGGTTTGCCTGTTGCACCTGTTGCGCCCATACTTGGACCGTGATGCCCTATGCACAGTCAATCATGCTTTAGTCACCTCCCGGATTGACTACTGCAATACTCTCTACCTGGGGCTGCCCTTGAAGACCACTCGGAGGCTTCAGCTGGTGCAGAATGCGGCCGCGCGGGTTGTAATGGGAGGATCCTGATACTCCCATGTTACACCTCTCCTGCGCGACTTGCATTGGTTGCCGGTTGCCCTCCGGGTGAGATTCAAGGTGCTGGTGTTAACCTATAAAGCCCTTCATGGCTTAGGCCCAGGATATCTGTCGGACCACCTGCAACCAGCATCGACTTCCCATCGCCCGGTGCGTTCCCACAGAGAGAGCCTACTCAGGGTGCCGTCGGCTAGACAATGTTGGCTGGCGATCCCGAGGGGTAGAGCCTTCTCTGTGGCCGCGCCCACCCTTTGGAATCAACTTCCCGTGGGTCTTCGGCTAGCCCCCGACCTTCGTACCTTCCGCCGTGAGCTTAAGACCTGGCTGTTTAAATGCCCTAGCCAGGACCGATGGGGTCTACTGTTTTAAATTGGTTTTTAGTCTGTTTTTAGTCTGTTTTAAATTGTATTTGTTGGGATTGTTTCATTTGATGTGAGCCGTCCTGAGTCCTCTGGAGAGAGGGCGGCATATAAATCCAATAAATAATAATAATAATAATAATAATAATAATAATAATAATAATAATAATTATTATTATTATTATTATTATTATTTTCATTTAAGCAATACTACAGAAATAAAATATTGGTTAAAATAAACTCTTAAAATAGAGCTCAGCAAAAGGAAATAGTTGAGATATGCAGTGGTATAATCTCAAGGATGGATTCATTCTATTCTATTCAATACATTACTGAACAGTTGAGTCTACACCATAAAACAAAGAAGAGTAATGCTAAGATCATCACACCTATGATATTATACCACCGTTCTTTTTTAAAAAATCCCGTTCTTTACTGTCAGAGAAAACTGAGAAAATTTGAAACCTACCCACTTATAACTCCCATGAACAGAGCGGCCAAAAGGACAGAGCTAAGGTGGGTAGAGAGGCAAGTGGGAGTGTTAGTAGCAGATCTTTACTTATTGAGGCTCAGGCTGGGAGGGACCAGCTCAGAATAGCTTAGATTGTGGTGGTACTCTCTTAATGATCTGTAATTCTCAATTTAGGACCATAGTGGAGAGAGTTGGGATTGCTGTCATAAATATGTGCGGTCATATGACATCCTGCTTTATGACCACATCAATTTACAATATAAATTTCAATCCGAATTATGATCGTAAGTTGAAGGACTATCAATATCAAAGAAAAATAGATGTATTCTTTTATTTTAAGCTGGTCCCTTCCATTCAGCTGCTTACCTTGGAATTTACTCGGGCATAAAAGTGAATTTCGTTGTATATTTCAATGCCATCAGCATTCTTACAGCTGCAGAAACATACACAATAAATACTTATTTGAAATTCTCTCTTTTCACAAACGCTACTGCAGATAACTGGCTTAGTAAGCTAGCTATTACATGTTGCCTTCAATTTACAACCCTTCATTTAGTGACCATTCAAAGTTACAACAGCATTGAAAAAGTGACTTGGAATCATTCCTCGCATTTACAATTATCATGGCATTCCCAGGATTAGGGATCAAAATTTAACATGTATTTGGGCACTTGGCATGTATTAATGATAACTGTAGCATTCCAGATCATGTGATCGCTATTTGTGACCTTTCCAGCTGGTGACAAGCAAAGTCAGTGGGGGCAGCCAAATTTGTTTAATGACCATTGATTCACTTAACAATAGGCAAAGGAGTTTGCAAAATCAGGCGCAATCTACTTAACAACTGCATTGGGGAATTTCCCAATTGTGATTATAAGTCAAAGGCTACCTGCATATTATTTAAACATTACTAATTCACCTTCTGAAGGCATGTTTTCCATTTTTAGAGAAGAAAGCAGTTGTGTGAAGAATTAGACTAATTAATGATCATGTTTGAATGAGAATCAGAAAATCAACAAACTTATACAGTAACACAATGTATTTTTTTGTAGAAATGAGTTCCACAGGGTTCAATGGAAAATAAAAGCTAGCCATTTGTGTTTGCTTATTAATACCAACATTTATAGGGTTTTTTCCTCCTAAGATAGATAACTGTGTTTTCTTACCTGAATATTACCTTGTAATCATCAAGGTCCACTTTTACATCCCTGCTGTCTTCCACGCAGAATTCCAGAAATATGTATCGTGGACGGTCATACCATAGAGTTTTGGCTGGTTGTCTTAAGGAAACAAAAGAAGAATGCACACTGGGATGGTAAAAGTGTGAATGCCATCTCTCAAAAAAATATGGAATGTCAAGTTATTCCATATTATGGTTGGCTGCATAGATTAGACTGGATCTGGCACTTTTATCCAGATAGATCCATTCCAGTGATCTAGAGCAGGCAGATATTGTTTGACGGTGAAGAAAGTTAGCACCCACCCCCTCCTAGAATGAAATATTTTAGGAAATATTAAAAAGGCAGAATATTATATTTCCCTGGATGAGAAAAGGAGAAACATGCTTTAAAGACAAAGCAGCTCCCTGCCCCCCACTTCAGCTCCAGGATAATGGGGTTAAGACATGGCCCTTAGGATGTGATAGGTTTAGCCCTCTATCCATCTAGCAACACTCACTACATGGCACCTGGAAAGATTGCATCACTCAGCAAGATTCAACCAAGCCTGGGACCCAAGACAACCTACAAAGTTACCCTTGCATGACCGCATGTGAGTCTGACAACCAATCAGAATACATTTCTTACACAGGAATAGGAAGCTCCAAGGCGCAAGAGAGGGTATAAATCTCTCTCTCACACACCCATGTGCTCATTTTGCCCAGGACCTCAAGCCATGTGGTCCTGTCCACCATTAAACCATCTTTACAAATAGCCTCCATGTTTCCAATGTCTTTCTCCCCACTTGGAACTGAACCCAGATGGACATTTCTTCCAACAATTGTATTGAAGGTATTGTCACAGGATGTAAACTGTTCCAAGTGAACTGTCTTTTTCAGTTGATTGATGGTACTTCTAAACAGATATTGTCATAGGATGGAAGCAGTTCTGAGTAAAGCTGCCTTCTGCAATTGACTGATGGCAAATTTGTCAATGCCAATGATGTTCAAATGATACTCCTGTTGTTTTGGGATTGCACCCGCCACCTAATACCATTGATACTCTTTGCTTTCTATTGCCATAGTCACTCAACTTCTATTTGCAGGTCCTGTATTTTGTTATTTTCTCCAGTTCTCATCTATTCTCCTATCTCCAGATTCTGTCATGTCCACTATCTAGATTTTATTAGTATTATCTCATTTTTAACATATACCTCAAGGCAGTGAACATACTTAATACAGGTAGTCCTCAATTTACGACCACAATTGAGCCCCAAATTTATGTTGCTACGTGAGAAATTTGTTAAGTGAGTTTTGCCCCATTTTACTTGCCACATTTGTTAAGTGAATCACTGCAGTTCAGTTGTTAACTGAATCTGGCTTCCCAGTTGACTGTGCTTGATAGAAGGTTGCAAAAGGTGATCCCATGACCCTGGAACATTCATAAATGTGAGTCAGTTGACAAGCATCTGAATTTGATCATGTGACCACAGGGGTAGTGCAATGGTCATAAGTGTGAAAAATGATCATGTCACTTGTAACTTTACAACACAGTGCAATTGTAACTTTAAATGGTCACTAAGTGAATTGTTGTAAGTCAAGGACTATCTGCATTCCTGCCTTTTATTTTCCACACAACAATAACCTGAGGTGGGCTGGACTGAGAAAGAGTGGTTGACCCAAAGTTAACTAGGTAGTTTTTACGCCTAAGGGAGACCTAGAACTCCTAGTCTCCTAGTTTCTAAGCCATCATTGTAACTACTACACTAAACTGACAAATTATAATACAGAGAGTTTCATTTTAAATTATTATAAGGTACTGTATGCTTCATTTTTAATTCTGTTGATCTTGCAAGAATTTTATGATTCTTAAAACAGATATATGTAAATGCCATTATAAAGCTGCTTTATTTAGAACAGAACCATCTGATAGCTATTGATCTGTATAGCTCGATTGATGGAAGAACTACTCATAATGGTCACCACCAGGACCAAATATACTGTGAAAAAGATTCTCTTGCTAGGCATAGACTGGGTGAGGCTCATCAAATCTTTGCCTGAGGTTCAAAATGGCTTAATTCTAAAGTGGCTTCCACTCCCATGGTCAGCAGGACACAGATTACCTGTTAAAAGAATACTTTAAAAATTAGTAAACCGCCCAAATTAGTTACAGCATTAAACAAACCCCCATCAAGTGAAACTCCAGGAAAAACATGCGGAAGATTGGGTGTTGCAGATTGTGATGGTTGTTACTTGCTGGAATAATTGGCCTTGTATTGACCCTTTCAAATTATTTTCCTCCCAAAATAATTTTTCAATCTATAAAATATAGGATTGCATAGTTTGAAGGACTACATCGTTGTTTTTCTTCTAACAATGTTACTTAATGAACTTGTCTCCCTAAAGTTGTTTCCCTTATGAAGTTACAAATAGATGTTTATTTGTGTTTATGTGTGTGTGTGTATACCCAAGGGAATTATTGTGAGAAGTTTTATATCCAAATATATTTTATTCCTTATACTGTTTCAATCTTTCTTTAAAATATTAATACTGTAGACTCTACAATGATCTGTCTCCACTAGATAATTGACAGTCAAGTTGAAACTAAGTTAATCAACTAAAATTAGCAAATTTCCTCAAACCCCCAAATAAGTAACTCAGACCTAATCCACATATTAATTCACATATCATAACAGGAATGTTAGACTGAATTGATCATTGAACAAAGAGAGCTGCTTATTATTCTGTAAAATATCAATTATTTCTGTTTGCTCAGTTTGGAAAACGATACTAGGAGGATCACACAATGTAATATATAAGTGTGATTGGACACACAACGAATTTGTCTTGATGCATATGCTCTCAATGCACATAAAATAAAAGATATATAATTGAAAAGTTCTAACCAATTAAATGTTTACAGCTACAAATACATTTTAATACAGTGAATATTAAAGATCTGAGGAAGTAGGCTTCCTGCCCAAGCAGGCAAGACCATAGATTTTTATTCTGTTTTGAGGGGATCCAGAAGTTAGATCATCAAATCAGATCAGCTGGAAGAGAAAGACAGAATAAATCCTATCAAAGACCTGTCGTCAAACCACAAGCACTCACCTTGCCATGATGGCTGTCGTTTACTGTTTTCTGTGTCCCCCAACCTCTCTGCCCTTTCAGGCAGACAAGCTTATTTGATCCTCTTGGGCCAGGCGGAGCTAAATTCAGAGGCTCCCCCTCCCCAGTAGTTGCTGCCCAACACTCATTTCCAGAAATGTCCTGACACATTCCAGAATATATCATAGGTGCCATATATCTATTTTAAGTAGGTACTGTAATCACTTTGATGCTTATAGTTCAGTTGAAACAAAAACTTTCTTGGGTGTGCCAGTTTCAATAAGCTAATTTAAGAGTAATTATTTTTCATACTTCGGCAGAAATTTTTGAGGACCAATGTACATTTGTTTTCAGGATAAGGCACGTTTGCTTAAAGGGATTACGTTCAAGATTTCTGCTCAGTAAATCAATTCATTTTATTATAGAAACACACCAAGTTGCAACTTCTAATGTTTTAACTATGCTTGAAGAAAGCCTCCTTGAAAAAGACATTTCCAAATAAGTGTGAGATTGTTCTGCAAGTATAATGTCTGAATTCTAAACCTTATATAATTGCAACATAACTGTTAACTTTCGTTCGTATATAACTACACTCCCTTCCTTCGGAATAATCAGTATTATATATATTATGCAGTTAAGAAAATTCTAGTTAATCTCAGATGAAATATGTATCCTTTTTACTAATATAGCTACGCCCTTTTCTCCTCTACCCGGCGTTCAGATTTCAAACGAAGTCGCTGAAGTTTATTTTAGGCAATTGACCGTTATCTTGTTTTGTTTGCTGTTTAGAGGAGACTCACAAATCAGCCTCATTTTAATCAAACGTGTTATGCGAATTCAAATCTCTTGGTTAACTTAACACTTCAGTGTGTCGTGCGAATCCAGAAAAGTGATTTAAATAGCCCCGCCCCCTCCAGTCAATCATGGAACGTACATCATACGAACGCAGCCACGACGCTACTTGCATGTTCCTGCGCGCGTTAAAGAACTGAAGGCCATACCTACTTCCGTATGACGATTTTCTGTCGCTTCTCACAGGGCCGGAAATGACGTTTCATTTTGCCGGCCCGGTTCCCCGGTGACATTTTATAGTAGTGGTTAGCGGCGGCAATGGAGACTGCGGCAAGTCCCGGGGAGCGGTGGGCGCCGGTGGGCGCGGTAGCCGAGGTCCAAGCTGGAGAGGAAGAAGTCGGAGAGGAAATCGAAGCCGAACCGGGATCCCCGCGGGCACTTAGGGCGGAACGCCGCCGCCTTCACTCGGCTCTCCTGGCTTTGGCTTCGCACTTCGCACAGGTCCAGTTCCGGCTCCGGCAAGTGGCGCGTGCCGGCCCAGGGCAGCAGCAGCGTCTCCTCCGTGAGCTTGAGGAATTCGCTTTTCGCGGCTGCCCCGGCTCCGGCCTCGGCTTTGCCGCGGCGGCGGTGGACGGAGTGGGCAGCGACGCGAAGGTGAGCAGGAGCTGGAGGTCATTGATGCAGCCCTCCTCCGCTGTGATCTTTCAAAAATACATTCGGTAACTTCGTTGCCTAATAAATCTGATTTACTTCATATGCGATAGATATAAATCCGGAACCATCGGAGATAGTTGAATATTAAGCTGCTAAAAAGATTTCCTGGAGCTTGGCTCTGTGCAATGGGAAATTTACCCACCAGTGGAAAATATCCCAGTTACTTACAAGTTTTGATGTTGGTATTTAAAACCACAAAGTAGATTTTGAGTCCAATATTAAGGGAAACATTACATTAGTGAAGGATGCAACTGCTCTAGTCTTTCAGGAACAATCGGTTTCAGTCAGGGTGGATAAAAATCAATGATTTTTTTTAAAAAAATCAAAAAAATCAGATTTTTTTATTTAATTCGGATTTTTTTTATTTAAAACGGATTTTTTTAAATAAAATGCTTTTTGAGGAAAATATATTACCATCCAAAGGTTATTCCATCATGAAATAAATATTAGTTTTTTAATTATGTAGAATAAGGCTGTATATGTTTAATTTTTTTGGTAAATAAATTCCATTAATCCATTCACAATGTCATGCTCTTCCAGAGGTTTTTGTAAGATTATTGGGCAGTTTCTCTGCCTACAAGATATTATCACAGATGCTTGGTTTACTTTTGCAGTTCTCAAAACTGAATTTGACTCAGTAGAGATCACATGCCTCTTCTTCACAACAAAAATGTTATAACATGAACAGAGTTGAGAAAAAGACCTAAATCCTATTGTTCTACAAACCTATGAATACAGAATCAACCCCTTCAGTGCTAAGTTTCAAGAAGTTCAGTGAATAGAATAGAAACAATATTTTTCTGATTGTTTGGAGTGGAATAGATCTGCACAAGAAGAAAGTGAAACTAAGTGTGAGGAGGAAGGGGCAAGCAGAGAAGCAGTACAAAATGAAAGTGAAACTTTCTGAGCACAATACTGCACAGCCACAGACAGACAAGTCTTTGGATCTTTTTGTGTGTATGACCACCTGAGGTTTATCACATTCTTTCCTTGGAGGAAAAAACCTATAATGGCAGCAGGCTGTAAAAGAGACCCAGTTTGGCAATATTTTAATGAAGTTCCTTTACCTATCAGTAAGGCAGGCATGTGTGCAAACTGCAAACACTGCAACAAAGAAATGCAAGGCCTGGTGGCCCGAATGAGGCAACATCATGAGAAAGTGCTGTGATGAAGATGACCAAAAAAGCACATTTGAACAGGCAGGATCTTCAGGTTGGTAAACATTTTTATTGAATCATATTTCTAAAGACTGCCTTGAACTGTCATGTTTGAGCAAAATTATATTTCTAATTATTACTGCATGTTACTGTCATTTGGTACAGTTATGAAGAAAAGCAAATATTCCTTTTGGGGCAGTGCTGTGTACAATAAGCAGAAATTGTATAAACAATAAAATAACAGCATTGACTTTTTTGTTTAGGGGAATTCATGGATTCTGGAAACTATCCACCTTCAAGATCACCATCCTCCTGTTCTACAGTTTCAGAGATATCCATCCAGGATAATGTTTCATTAGCATCATCATCATCAAACACCCACAGCCACATATCACTATCACCTAAAAGAAAGAAAAAAACCCTTCCCTCCTGGAACCACCATAGATAAGTTTGTGATAAAAACTAGCAGATTAGAAAAAGAGTTAATTGATGAAAAAATTGCCCAGTTTGTTTATGCAACAAACTCTTCTTTCCGTCTGACTGAGAACCCACATTTCATTAATATGGTTCAGTCACTGAGACCAGGATACAGTCCACCCAGCAGAGCAGATGTTGCAGGGAAACTGCTGGATAAAGTGTATGACAGAGAAGTGGAGCAATGTGCAACAGCTCTGGAGGGTAGAATTGTTAACCTAAGTATTGACAGGTGGAGTAATGTCCACAATGATCCTATTGTATGTGCTTGTATAACAATAGAAGAAGGGAAAGTCTTCCTTGCACAAACGATACGTCAGGAAATGCACACACAGCAGAATACTTACAAGAAGTGGCAGTAAAAGCTATAATAACATGTGAACAAAAATTCAAATGTCTAGTACGCAGTTTGGTCACAGACAATGCTGCAAATGTATCCAAGATGAGAAGAAATTTAGAAGAGCAGGAAGGGAATACAAAGCTAATAACATATGGTTGCAGTGATTTGCTGCACCTCTTAGCCAAAGCTTAAGTGTTCCAGAAATAAAGACTAATGTTGAAATTGCTAAATACTTGCATAACAATCATTTTGCTGCAGCAGCTCTGAAAAGGATGGGTGAAACCAAGCTAACGCTCCCACAAGATGTTAGATGGAACTCTGTGGTAGACTGTTTTGAGCAGTATATGAAGAACTGGCCTATTCTGATGACTGTGAAGAAAATGGAGATAAAATAGATGGCACTGTCACAGCCAAAATCCTCAACATTGGGCTTAAGAGAAATGTTGAACATATGCTGAGCATCCTGAAACCCATCTCTGAAGCTTTAAACAAAATACAGAAAAATAGCTGTTTTATTGCTGATGCTGTTGAAATTTGGAAGGAACTGAGTGAACACTTAAAAACAGAACTACACATGGACAGAATTAAATTACAAGCATTAAAAAAACGAATGGGACAAGTACTGTCTCCAGCTCATTTTTTGGCAAATATTGTCAATATCTAGTATCAGGGTCAAAACTTAAGTGCTGAGGAAGAGGAGTTAGCTATGACATGGGTATCCAGCAATCATCCATCTGTAATGCCAACTATAATAAACTTCAAAGCTAAGGGGGAACCATTCAAGAAATATATGTTTGCTGAAGATATTTTAAAGAAAGTCACACCAGTGACCTGGTGGAAGTCACTTAAGCACTTGGATTTAGAGACTGTTCAAGTAATGATTTCACTTTTAACAGCAGTAGCTTCTTCTGCAGGCGTTGAAAGAATAGTCTCTTCCTTTGGACTCATTCATTCTAAATTGAGAAATCGTTTGGGACCCGATAAAGCAGGAAAGCTTGTTTTTCTTTTCCAGATTATGAACAAAGAAGATGATGAAGATGACGAGTGAGTTACAGAGGACAGTATTTAAGTTTTTCATGTGTAGGCTGGGCTGACAGTCTAAGTTTCTTAAAATACATATATATTGTTTAGCCAAATTAGTTAACAAACATGGATGTTTGTTTAAGCAAATAACATATGCTGTAATGTTATTGTTTCAGTTGAATAAATCTATTTAAATTGTTATTATTAAGGTAATGATTATTTTTCTCCTTCCTAAGTACAACAGAAAAGTTGTCCAAATATGAATGATTAACCTGTTAAACGGGGGATAAAAAAAACTAATATGAAAAGTTGTTATTCTAAAAATCTTCATCTACTTGCATATTAAAGTTATACCAGCAAGAATTAGTCTTTATGTAGAAAACTATGATTTAAATCAAGCCTTACTGACTAGTGATTTAAATCGTGATTTAAATCAGTTTGATTTAAATCAAATCCACCCTGGTTTCAGTCAAGCTATTGAAATCAACAGTTGAGAAGAGATTGTTACTACTGTATGATGTTCCTATAATCAACTGGCTGTCAAAAGACAGGATTTAGATTACTTTAAGATTTGGGCTCATTCTGCTTTTCCTGATCCTTGTGTTCAAATATAGTTGAAGTTTTATAAATTATTATAAAGCCACACTTGGAGTTTTCAAGTTTTGTATTGTCCAACAGACTTATAAGACTTTCTCTTTTCAGAATTCTTTTCATAAATAATACTTGAAGGTGTATTAGTCCACTTTGTTTTTATAACTTTGTGATTAGTAAATAAGGAAGTTTAGTAATATAAAATTACAAAAATTTCAAGCATTTTTATTATATGGCATTTGATTGAAGTATAATGGAGGAGCAGAAATATATAAATAGTATTCATACAACCAAGGCAGCATAAAGTTTGGAGTCTTCAGTATCATGCCAAATAATTTCTGCTAATCCATAACAAATTACTGTTATCACAAAGCAATTTATTTAATTAAATTTGATATATTGTCTTTGGTAGTCACTGGCAGTAGATACCAAAAGATTCCATATTTTGAACACCTTCCACATGGTAATGTGGAACATGTTGTACAGGTAGTCCTTATAATATACTATTCACAGTTATGATGATGATGAAAAAGTAATTTTATGTCTGGTTAATCTTTTAACTTTAAAGCTTTTCACAGCATAAAGCTAAGGAAAAGTGAAGACAGTTTATCAGTACAATTGTGGTTTTATTTAGTGATTGCTTAATGACCAAGTTGCCATTGCCAATTGTTACTTAGCAAGGACTACCTGTTCTATAATTTGTATGGGAATATAATTAGATCCCTTCTAAAAGAGTTCCTAGGTAGAAATGTTAAACAGCACATTAATTTTTTTCTGATATACCATGGAATTGTTGTTACCCAAGATATTGTAAATTTTGTCTAGCTGCTATGAGGCCACAGCAGTGAATACCAGTAGTCCTCATTAATGAGAACAATTGAGCCTGGAATTTGGATCATAAATTGTGGTTTGAAGCAGGTCACCATGCGGCATGACTTAAATCGTATCATAAAATGTGTGCCTGAAACTTCTCCAAGATCTAGAAAATCTTCTGAGGTTCTTGTACCATATCTTTTTTAAAAAAAATATTACAAGTAATCCTCGACTAACCAGTTGTTTAATGACTGTTTAAAGTTATGATGGCCTCAGAAAGAGTGCTTTATGATCTGCAAAACATTGTAAAGCTTTGCACTGTCATCCCCCCCTCCCTACATATGCACATTTGGGCACTTGGCAACCTCTTCACACTTACCAAGTGATCACGATTTGCAATCTTCTTTGCTGACTTCCATAGAAAGTCAATGAAACAGCAGGAAAGATTGCAAGCTGCTGTTGCCCATCAAAAGGACTCTCTCTCATCTTTGCTACCTGCTGAGTGTAGCAGAACTACTCTGCTGGACTGCAAAAATGGAACTCAGATGGTGGAGATCAAAGCTCCATTTCTGCAGCCCTGTAGAGGCATTCTTTTCTGCACATCGGGAGTGGGGTTGAAATCCATCTGCAGGCAGTTCTTTTGCTCCATCTGCTTAACAACTTTTCAGATCACTTAACAATAGCAACTGGGACTGCTAGGATTGTGGTCATTGAATGAAGCAGTCACATGGGCATTTCACTTAATGACTACTGTGCTCAACAACTGAGATTCCAATCCCAATTGTAGTCAAGTTAAGGACTACTTGTATTAAGTAGCCTGAGTGGCGCAGCAGACTAATGCTACTTCCAGCTGCCTGCAATTACTGCGAGTTCAATTCTCACCAGGCTCAAGGTTGACTCAGCCTTCCATCCTTTCTAAGGTAGGTAAAATGAGGACCCGGTTTCTGGGGGCAATAAGCTGACTTTGTATAAAGTATACAAAAGTATGAAGGCTATTGCTTAACGCATTGTAAGCCGCCCTGAATCTCTGGAGAAGGGCGGCATATATATATATATATATATATATATATATATATATATATATATATATATATAAATATGTAAATGACTTTGCTTACCTAACAAGTGTCTGCTGTATTCTGCATCTCCTTATACTGTGTTTTCCCAAAAATAAGACCCTGTCTTATATTTTTTTGAACCCTGAAATAAGCGCTTGGCCTTATTTTGGGGGAGGTCTTATTATTTTGGGGTGCATGGAGCAAGATGGGGCTCCTCTTGCCGTCTTACCTGATTTCCAGCTCTGTGTTTAAATATTTTTGGGGAAGGCTTGTTTTCAGGGGGAGGCTTAGTTTAACGCAAGCGCTCAAAAGCCTGAGTGGGCTTATTATCAGGGGATGTCTTATTTTCAGGGAAACAGGGTACTTTTTATATGTTGAATTAGAAAGGCATATAAAGTGCCTGTCAGGAGAGTTTCTAGGTCATAACTGGAGGACATCTTTTTCCTATTGCCCTTTCCAGTGATGTAATCATTATGGATTCTCTTGAGACTAATGGACTGTGGACAGAAGTAAGAGCTGGAGAAAGATGCTCCAAAAGACTGTTGCAATTTCAATTCAAGGTTGATTGTTTTATGCAACGAGATAGCCATTAAGTCTGGACACACGTTTCTTTAAGAACTTTATTCTAATTTTACTCTTAAAGTCAATAGGAGTCTGATAGCACCTTTTCTGATTAACAATTATATAAAAAAGCATAGGCTTTTGGAAGTTGCAACTCATTTTATAAGCTGCATGGCCACTCTGAAGTTGATTAATTGAACTGCAGCCCCTGAAAGCTAATGCCTTTTAATAAAAAAAATTAATCAGAAAAGGTGCTATTAGATTCCTCTTAATTTTTTTTGCTCCCATTGACTAGCACAGCTCTCCTCCTACAATTACTGTACTGTGTACAATATGACCTTTTTTTCTTCATTCAGAATGAATATGAGAAGCAAGCACAGGTGGAAGCTAGAAAAGAGAAGCAACGAGAACTAATTCTGCAGCTTAAGGCACAGTTAGATGACTTGGAAACATTTGCCTACCAGGAGGGTAGCTATGATGCCTTGCCTCAGTCTATGGTCATGGAGAGACAGCAGGTAAGACTCATTGGTATATAGTCAGACATAATTTTCTTTTGCATATAAAGGGACACCTTTAACTGAGACATTTGATTTTTAAACATTTTGGGAAGAGAATCCTTAGCAAGGAGTGAGATTAACTCCTGATTTATTCCTGCTGTGCTTCACAGGTGATTATTGAGGAGCTAATCAAGAAATTGGACATGAACTTGAGTGAGGACATTGCCTTGCTGTCCCCAGAAGAGTTGCGTCAGCAGGTGGATGTTGCTGTGGCACAAATCATCAACCCAGCACGTGTAAAGGAACAGCTGGTGGATCAGTTGAAAACCCAGATCCGGGACCTTGAAATGTTTATCAATTTCATCCAGGGTCAGAAAATATACATATCTTGCATACTTGGTACAATACATGGGGTCAATTAGGAACCAGATCTGAAAGGGACTATGAAATGTATTGAATAATCTGAAGTTTTGGACTGAATTGTGATACCAAATTAATATAAATATTTAATTCATCTTAAGAAATTAAAAAGTATAACATTTTGTTCTTACCAAAATTAGCAGGAAAAGATGACAGATAAAGTTCTGTTTAATAATTTTTCAGTGGGGTTGGTTCTCCTATCATGCAGGAAAAATAAACAATTTCTGTAGAACCTGAATATCCTACAAAACTGATTATGGCATCAGCTTTCTTAGGCCAGAGTCCACTTCATCAGATCCTGTTGTTATCCATTTTCACAGATATATTAGGTTTTGTGATGTTGTCTGAAAAGATAAGAAGAACCTGGTCGTACCAAAATTTGTTACAAGTCTACTTATGTGGCTTGTTGAATGGTTATTTCTGATGGCTGTTTCTAAATAAGGCCCATGAAAGTGGGCTGTTGTTGTCTGGGAAGAAAAGTTGATCATTACTGATACTTAGAGTGATTTCAGTTATGAGCTCTTGCAGGATTTAATAACATTGGCCATCACAATAACAAGGATATACTCACTTCCACATCCAGTGTGATACTCGCTTTCAGTTGGCCTTCTGCATTCTTTCTGCATTAAAGATTTCCCCCTCAGAACGGGCTCGCAATTTGGGTGTCCTCCTAGACTCACAGCTAAGATTAGAGCAACATCTGACAGCTGTGGCTGGGGGGACCTTTGCACAAGTTCGCCTGGTACACCAATTGCGACCCTACTTGGATCGGGAGGCTCTCCTCACAGTCGCTCATGCCCTTGTCACCTCATGGTTAGATTATTGCAATGCGCTCTTCATGGGGCTACCCTTGAAAAGTGTTCTGAGACTACAGTTGGCCCAGAATGCAGCCGCATGAGCTATCGTGGGTGCATCTAGATACACCCACATTATACCAATTCTCCGTGAGCTGCACTGGCTCCTTGGTCTCCGGGCACAATTCAAGGTGTTGGTTATTACCTTTAAAGCCCTACATGGCTCAGGGCCAGGTTATCTTCGAGACCGCCTTCTACCACATAGCTCCCAGCGACCGGTAAGATCCCACAGAGTTGGTCTCCTCCGGGTCCCGTCAGCTAAACATTGTTGGCTGGTGGGCCCGCGAGGGAGGGCCTTCTCTGTGGCTGCCTCAGCTCTCTGGAACCAGTTACCTCCTGAGGTCCGGACCATCCCCACCCTATTGGCCTTCCTAAAAGCAGTGAAGACCTGGCTTTTCTGGCAGGCCTGGGGCCGTTGATCTTGCTGTTGCGATCTTGTGAGATCCGGCCATGAATGGTGTGAGTGAGTTTTAATGTTTTAGTTTTTAAATGTTTTTATAATGGTTTTTTTTTTAAAAAATGCATTGTAAACCGCTCTGAGTCTCCAGAGAAAGGCGGCATATAAATTGAATAAATAAATAAATAAATAAAATGAGAAAGAATAAAAATACAGAAATGTGATATCTGAAAAAGCAGTGTTTAGCAACAAATGTCACATGATTTCAGTTTTCTAGGAGGATGTTATAGACTATTGAAATCACTCAGTCCTTACAAATCTGTAAGACCTGACTCTTCTCCCTGGGTTAATGTTGATGGTGACCTTTGGGAGTTGTGGGGTGGTGATTATTTTCTTCTGACATTCATTTTCTGTTTTATGAGTGATATATTTCTATATACTATTATGTATGTACGTATTTATTTATTTATTTTCCCATGTTTATCGTTTTTATAAACAATTCAAAACAGCTAACATATCTAATACTCCTTCTTCCTATTTTCTCCACAACAACTGTATTGTGAAGTGAGCTGTGCTGAGACACATTAGCCTATCAAGCTGACTTTCAGGGCTAAGGCAGGATTAGAACTCATAGTCACTCAGTTTCTAGCCTGGTGCCTTAACCAGTAGATCAAGCCAGGTAAGGGTAGCTTAGAAATTTAAATAAATTAATATTAATAAATGTACAGGGCCATGGGGCTCTGAAATCAAGTGAATGGCAGTGTTAATCACTATATTGCCACAGAGCTCTTTAGATTTCTGTTCTTAACAAAGACTCTGATGACCACTCAACTTCTATTATATAATTACTACATGCCAACTCCAGATTTTCTATCTTACCAGGGAAGATTCTGGAAAAGATAATCAAGCAACAAATCAGCGAACACCTAATAGCAAACAAAGTAATAACCAAAAGCCAACATGGGTTTGTCAAAAACAGATCATGCCAGACAAATCTTATTGCATTTTTTGACAAAATGACAAAATTAGTGGACCAGAGAAATGCTGTCGATGTAATTTATTTGGACTTCAGTAAGGCATTTGATAAAGTAGACCCTAACCTACTACTTGATAAGATAGAAACTTGGGTTAGACAGCATTTCCACCAGATGGATTCGTAACTGGCTGACCAACTGTACTCAATGTGTAGTACTCAGTGGAACTACATCTACATGGAGGGAAGTATGCAGTGGGGTACCTCAAGGCTCTGTTTTAGGCCCAGTGCTTTTCAACATCTTCATTAATGATTTGGATGAGGGGATAGATAGAGAACTCATCAAATTTTCAGATGACACCAAGCTAGCAGGAATAGCCAACTTTCCAGAAGATAGGCTTAAGATACAGAAGGATCTTGACAGACTTAAACATTGGATGATATCTAACAAAATGAAATTGAATGAAGAAAATAAGGTTCTACATTTAGGCAAGAAAAAAAATGCACAGGTACAGTATATGTGGTACCTCACTCAATAGTAGTAACTGTGAGAGAGATCTTGGAGTTCTAGTGGGCAATCATTTAAACATGAGCAAGCAGTGTGCTGCAGCTGCTAAAAATGCCAATTCAGTTTTAGGCTGCATAAACAGAGAAATAGAATCAAGATCACGTGTTAATACCACTTTATAATGCCTTGGTAAGGCCACACTTAGAATACGGCATCCAGTTTTGGTTGCCATGATGTAAAAAAAGATGTTGAGATTCTAGAAAGAGTGCAGAGAAGAGCACCATAGATGATTAGGAGACTGGAGACTAAAACATAAAGAATGGTTGCCTGAATTGGGTATGTCTAGTTTGATGAAAAGAAGGACTAGGGGTGACATGATAGTAGTGTTCCAATATTTCAGGGGCTGCCACAAAGAAGAGGGAGCCACGCTATTCTTCAAAGCACCTGAGGGCAAGACAAGCAGCAATGGGTGGAAACTAATCAAGGGCAGAAGCAACCTAGAACTAAGAACAAATTTCTTGACAGTTAGGAACAATTAATCAGTGGAACAACTTGCCTCCAGAAATTGTGAATGCTCCAACACTGGAAGTTTTTAAGAAGAGATTGAATAACCATTTGTCTGAAATGGTTTAGGGTTTCCTGCCTAAGCAGGGGGCTGGACTAAAAGACCTCCAATGTCCCTTCCGACTCTGTTATTCTATCTAGAAATTGGGATAACCCTTCTTTATGAAGACTTATACAGAACTGAGATATCCTCAAATGATTGCACTGAATGTGGAAACAAAGTATAGAAATAATGCATTGCAACTGCTCATCTATATAAAGATTCAGCTATCTTTATATAGATGAGCAGTTGCAATGCATTATTTCTATACTTTGTTTATTATTGCTGGGATGAAGCTGGGCCTTTGGTTCACTGGATATATTATGTGAGCCAAAGCTGAGCTCTTAGTTTTATAAAGGTTGGTCAAAATCTTTTTCTTTCTTGTAGAAGAAGGTAGTCCTGGCAAACCAGAGGAGGGACATTGTGACTGTTCAAGCGGACAAACTGGAAGTGGCACCTACAAGCCAAATGTGCAGCAACATCATAGAAGCAGCAGAGGTGGGTATCCATCCAAGCAAGAATTTGTTTGCATATCATACCGGTAGTTAAAAAGGTCTGTTGAATAAAAAAATGGTAGAGTACTTTACCTTGTTAGAGAAATGGGATATGGCAATTTGGAATAGGTTATTGAGAGAAATGGGAGTTACAGAACCCTTCCATTACTGGCTTATCTGCCCCAATTCTTATTTTTCTATTCAGCCTCAGATCTTGGCAGCCACTGATATTTTGTTTATACTATTGTGGGGAAAAAAATCATCACAAATCTTTTGGAAAGAGCTGAGTAGAAATTGGTTATCCTGCTCAGTTGAGCTTTTTCCAGATGCCCATTTGTAAGCTTGATTTCTTTCCCATTAGTGGAGATATATTACTACTGGCTTATACTATTTTCTTGCTTGAAAATCAGATCACAGGCATGAAATGACTATCACTATAAGGAAATCAGATTTCTAAATATCAGACAGCCAAATGTCTTGGGGTGGGGGGCAGGGAGAGTTCTCATCGTGAAAAATGATATGGCTGCAAGAGTATATGTGGTACTTGATACATACCAGGAATATGGCGTGAGTTATGTAGATGCTGTAAAACATTAGAGATGAAAAAAACAGCTTTACGGTTTCTTCCTTCAGATATGGACAACCACATGGGCATGCCTCCTTTTCATTATCTGCCCAAGTTGCTCTGTTGAATGTGTCAACATGAATATTACTATCCTCTTTCATCACCCATATTACTGTAGAGATAACCTCATTCCAACCTCATTCTCAAGTTCTGTTCTTTTTCCAAAACTATATAGAATGTTGCCAAAGTTAGCCCTACGTATAATTGTAACCATTAGTCTCTCTCCTCCTTCTGTTCTTTCCTCAGACTGTGACATGAGTCTACAATATGCAACAATATACAATATGCAACTGTATTAAAAAAATATTCACTTTCTCTCTGCAGTGAACTCAGAAGAAGCCCAGAGGATGCGAGAAACAGGGCTGCATCTCATGCGTCGGATGCTTGCTATGCTACAGATTTTTGCTTTGAGCCAATTTGGTTGTGGAACAGGTCAAATCCCTCATCAGTTATGGCAGAGGAACCAGTCTGACAGAGACTATTCCCCTTTAATGAACAAGCTAGAGATGGCGGTGGCCCATGTCAGGCAACTTGCTCAAAAGTACCAGTTGCGAGAGACAGAACATGTCATCAGCTATTCAGGGATCCAGGACACTTCCTTGGGAGGACGTGATGAACTAACATTGGCAGTACGTAAAGAACTGACAACTGCTGTGCGGGATCTTCTGGCTCATGGTCTCTACACTCCATCTCCTGGGATGAGCTTGGTTCTAGCTCCAATTGCCTGCTTGCTTCCTATGCTGGGCTCTTCTCCCCAGCCAATGCATCCATGGGAACTCTTTGTGAAGTATTACAGTTCAAAGAACGGCCGTGCCTTTGTGGAATCACCAGCTCGTAAACTCTCCCAGTCTTTTGCCCTTCCAGTGATGGGTGGGGTACCTACCACTCCAAAGCAGAGCCTGCTGTCAGCCATTCACACAGTATTGTCAGAACATGACCCATTCAAGCGTAGTGCAGACTCAGAACTGAAGGCACTGGTATGTCTGGCACTCAATGAGCAACGTTTAGTCTCATGGCTCAATCTTATCTGTAAGTCAGGAACTTTGATCCAAGTCCACTACCAACCCTGGAGTTACATGGCCCAGACAGGCTTTGAGGGAGCCCTTAACCTCCTTAGCCGTCTTAGTAATCTACAATTCAGCCTTCCTGTGGACTTGGCCGTTCGGCAGTTGAAAAACATCAGGGATGCCTTTTGAATGGCTTGGCAAGTGGAGGTTGTTTCAGTCCTGGGGTTGGCTGGTGGGAAGGATACATTTGTTGTTCTAACCAGGAGGCCGTATTGGTGTGTTCCTACAGAAGGAAATATTGTTAGTTGACTAGTCTGCTGCTATTGGCGATTCCAATCACATGCATCAGGATCCTGATTGGCAGGATCTTTTAAGGTATCTGCTGCATGGACAAATTTGACAGTGGAGTTAGAGAACATTTCACTTGCAAATATGGAGGGGAATGTTAGGAAGGTTTTGTCCTGCCATGGAACCAAGGTTATATTTAAACATAGCTAATATTTTAGTTGCATCACAGTTTATATGTTCTCTCCCTGAGGCATAAGGTACTGATACCTACATTTATCATTTAACTTTTAAATATACTGCCTGGCTTCTCACATTTGAAGAAGGGATTTACTATGTGCCAGTGGCCTTAAACTATTTGATACTGATGCTACAGAACCAGTTACTTCCAGGGAAATGTGTTTGTTTTTTCCAATTGAGCTGTTTTGTGCTAGGAAATAGAGTCCATTATATCCTTACAGGTCAATATATGCTCAATATTTTCAGCTGGCTTGCTGATAAGGAAATACATTGTTTAAGTAAATACCAGTTTGCTTAGATTCCAACCAAACATGAGAACAAAAAATTCAATACATTCCGGTGCTGAGAGATTATTTTGTGAATTAAATGGAAATAATTAGAAATGATAATACCTTACAGCACAGTTTAATTTGGGATCTTAATTACTTTGACAGAGTAGGATAAAATCTTAACTTGAAGTCAAGAATGAAAAAGCTATTAAGCTTGAACATTTAAATCAGCATCTTCCTTGAAAGAACAAATAACTTGATGCTAGAAGTCTTCTCAATGGCAGACAAAATAGCCTCCTTTGATTTGGTTATGCACAACCAATAAAGCTGCTGTTTTGGAAATTCATACTGTCAAACATTGAACCTGAACCTATTGATTCTTCCATTAGATCTCTTAAAGCAATGCTTGGCTATAATGTTCTTCTTTTGAATTATGTTTCTTCAGAATAATGGTAAAAGATGTATCTAAAGAGTGTCCATTTCAGATTATGGCACTCTTATTCTTTAGGCGAATAGTAATCTTTTAGTCTCTGTATATGCAGCACTTGTAACTCTGTATAGTGTCTCTTAAGACTTCCTGTATGTGTAAGATTGAAGGCAAACTACAGTCTCAAAGCTGATTCTGATCATGCTATTGCTCAAAAGGGCAAGCACAGGGGGCTCATTGACTTCTTGGCTACATAAACTGCAGTTTTGTTTTAAACTAGTTGTGATATATCTATATATCTATATGAATGGTCTGATTGAAACTCCTATCTAGCATAGGTGCTCTTTTCTACCCTTTGATAGTTCATTCATTGGTGCGCTTTAAAAAATTCTACCCTAAGTCCTTGGGTATCTTCAATTAAAAATATTTGTATTATTTGTTTTGAACCCAGTTCACTGCAATGGGAAGAAGAAATTGATTGCGAAAATGTCTTTTGCTTTTAATAAATTCAGTCTGGTGTCCTTAGTTTTTGTTCTTATTTTTCTTCTATTTATTTTTATTTGCTTTAATTTGAATTCCTAAACTGGATTCTGATTAAACTTTGATCTAATCAGACTCAGTGGCCTAACTGTATTCTTCCCACTCTATGATTCTAATTGTATTATTAGGCTGCCACAGCTGCCATAGAATCTTATCCTGGACACATGTACATGTTTGGCTGAGGAAAAGTGCAGTTTCTCTTTCAATCTACATAGATAAGCTAAATAGTTCTGAGGTTGATAGATCTCTTTCACAAAGAATGAAATAAATAGATACATCTTTCCAATAGAATATGGAAAAATTATTATACTTGTGTCTATGGAGATTTTTTGGCATGAAGCCCTCCTTTGCAGGAAGATCTGCTTAACTTGCTTTACTTAATTTTCTAGGGATGGAAGAAATGGAATATGTTGCATTGTAGTGTATTTCCTTTGTAAAAAAAAAATGCTTTAAGCATAGAAGACAATCACCAACAAACTGCTAGAGTTGTGAACATGATTGTAGTTACAAAACTCTAAAATTTTTCATCAGAATTTTGGCAGTGATATATCCTCAAAAGGTTCAATGTCTCTCAAACAATTCTGAATTAATTATATTAGTCAACATGACATTAACATCACTAACATCCTGTTTCAAAAACCAGGGGAAAAAATGAAAACGCTGTGTTCCACTGACATAAAAACAACATAATAGTAGTCTTTAAAGAAGTTTTCAACCAGAGCAAAGAGCTACAGCTGAAAAGCATGTACTGAGGTAACCACACAAAAGCAAAGTACAAATATTTTCTTATTGACACCAAAATACACCAGTTTCTGCCCTGTGTCTATATCCAATAATAGAAGCTGGACAGAAATGCCCAGGAGAAAAACAGGTTAGAAGGGGGCCATGGGTGAAAAAATTCAGAAATTACGGAAAATTATCAGACAATATTGATGAGGGTTTCCAGTATATCAAATAAAGGAATTTTCTGTTGGCTATATAAGAGGATTCATGGAAAAGATTTTAAGTAATTTGAATGAGACAGGAAAAAAAATGGGAAATGGATGTTAGGTTGCCAATCCACAAAATTATTTATTTATTTATTTATTTATTTATTATTGAATTTCTATACCGCCCTTCTCCCTGAGGACTCAGGGCGGTGTACAGCCAAAATTAAAAAACATGCAGGACAAATATTAAAAAAAAAACAATTAAAAGATATATAAATTTGGCCCAATTAAAACTCATTACCAATTAAAACGTTTAAAACATTTAAAAACAATTAAAAATTTCATCTTAAGCCAGCCCGGCTTGCTTGAAAAAATGGGTTTTAAGGGCACGACGGAAGGCACTGAGGTCCTGGATTCTCCTTATCTCTTATTATTATCCTTCAGATGCTTTGTGCACGTGCATAAAATATGTATTTTCTTCAGTTAGTATTTTGAACAAGTCGTGTTAAAAGAACATTCTATTTATATTCTAAAATATATTCCAAAAAACTGTTGAAGCAAAAGGTTCACTTTTAATATACAAATTGTAATGGTTTGCATACTTAAATATATATTTCAACATAGAAGTTATATGTTTAACGTTTAAATATCATTCTTTGAATTTATTCTTCAGAAATGACATAAGTGCAAATTCTTCCAGAATAGTGAAAATGTTTTGCTTTGGCAAAAATAAGCAAAATAATTATTTAACGTAATCAAGATAGCTCATCCTTCTAGACTATTTTCCTTTACCACACCCAGCAAGTTTCTAAATTGTTTTTGAGCCAATTCAAGTAGTCCTAGTAAGGCTTTTTCTACGGCAAGTGTTTAGGAAATGTTAAAAGAAATTGATCGTACTACTTACCTTGCACTAACTCCTCTCCCCTTGGTTTAATACACAATTCAATATGAAAAGGGGAAAGGAGGCTCCTGATTTACCTCACGCTGGCTTGTATTACCATGTGTGGTGTTTTTTTTTTTTTTTTTAAATCTATTAACAAATAGAAAGAATTGTCATTCTAGATTTGGCTGCTCTCTTATTTTCTAAGGGTAAATCTCAATCTTAGAAAAGAGACGAGAGAAAGTGCTTTTCAAATGCTCAGGTAAACGGAAATCCTAAATCGTACGTATCCCCGCTGAACGAAAGTGCGCATGCGCATTGCGTTCAGAAGGTTGAAAGGTCGCCGGAAATTACGTGCCTCTCCTTTTCCGGCTTCGTCCCATAGACGAAATACATTCGGTAAGGTTGGTGTAGCCGTTGTGGAACAATCCGTTGTAATCCTCTCAAACTGTTTGGAAAGTCAGGTTGGTGGGAGAGCTAAAAGGTATCAGATATGTCTCTGATGGTTTTGGGAGGTTTGGAAATATGAAGATGCAGTAAATAACTATGATAGGGCGTTTCGTTTCTCGTGGTCTGTAGTATGCCGGCACTAGAGAAGGAAATATATTCTCTTAAGGGCTGATGTTTTTCTTCAGCGTTCATGGTAAAGTTGCCGCCGTCTAGAACAAATGCATTGTCTACTTTTAAATAAAAATAAAGCAAAAACTTCATGTGAGACTGCATTGTCCTTACTAATTCCTTGGCTCTGAGGTCTACGAGATTAATTTAACCCTGCTGATAATCAGACTTCCTCCTAACCATCATTGATCATTCCTCTGATTGCTAAGATAAAGTTGCATCTAAATTCTACTTGTCTCAGTCCCAGAGAAAACCATATTTATATATGAATGAAACTTTATAGATAGGCTTGATGGCAAGGAAATGATCGATTTTTCAAATAATGATGTGAGATGTATATGTGATTGCATTTTAAAATTTTTCTTCCCTGTTCTACTCAGAGATGGGTAAATTTATGAAACCTGGGAAGGTTGTTCTTGTTTTGGCTGGACGCTATTCTGGACGCAAAGCTGTTATTGTTAAGGTGAGAAAGCTGGATCTCTTCACCAAGTTTAGTAAAGCCTTCCTGAACTCTACTGTCGATGACCATATGAACATATCCATGGAGTTATCTTGGCAGCAGTATGAAAGTGGTTTGCCACTGTCTTCTTCCAGAATATTTTTCTATACTCCACTCTACAGCCTTGGTATTTACTGGTGGTTTCCCATCTAAATATTAATCATGTCTTATCCTGCTTTGGTTTTTCCAAGATTGACTGTGTTGCCAGTTTTCTAAAAGTTGTGCCCAAAGTAATGGAATGCTCTTAGATGGTATTACCTTAGATTTATTTCAATAATAAACCACAATTTCAGAACCACTTTACATCAAGTCAAAGCCACCGTAGGGTAGCATGCAAGTAGTATTATAAAAATTATATAACCATAATAAAGTGGTATCAGGAACAGAACAACAAAGGTGGAAAATCAAGGGCTTTGAATATCATAATTGAAAATTCTATTTTAAAGTGATCTTAGAAAGTGATAAGAGGTCACTGACATTCAATAAGCTTTATATTGTGTATGGCGTCATTTAAAATTGATCTCTGATTTCAGTTGAGCTATATAAAGTCTTAACAAACTTGATGCAGAGTTCATTTTTTCCACTTAATTGTAGTTTTGAAAATTGGAGTGATATATGTAGGCACATTTTATGATAACATTAATTCTTTAAACCCATAAAAGTAAGTAGTAAATTCTGAACTAAGTAAAGTAAAGACAGACTTGGATGGTAATTGCAGAGTGATCAACTGAAAAAGTATGAAATGATTTTTTTAATTGACTGGATCCAAATAATTTCCTGTTCAGAACAAAACTAAAATAGTATTTTTTTTCCTCCTGAATAAAGTTGTAGTTGATTACTTAACAGTATCATTATTAAACATAGCTATAGTTGCTGCTTATGATGACTTTTTTTAATGGTTTTCTATTACAGAATATTGATGATGGCACTTCAGACCGCCCATACAGCCATGCCTTGGTGGCAGGTATCGATCGTTACCCACGCAAAGTAACAGCCAGTATGGGCAAGAAGAAGATTGCTAAAAGGTCCAAAATCAAATCCTTTGTTAAAGTTTACAATTACAACCACTTGATGCCAACCAGGTGAGTTGGAAAGAAAAGTATGGAAGAATATTATGTGAGAGGAAAACAAAGTATGTAGGGCTTTATTTATATTTTTTAACCAAGACCAAAAGTTGATTCAATTTCCTTTCTCCTATGCCCTGATTTCAGCTGTGAACTTGAAATAAAAGACAGGCAAGGAGGCAAAAGTGCTTCTGGGTTTGTAACTTCCCCACTTCTTGTGTTTTGTTTAGGTACTCTGTTGATATTCCCCTGGACAAAACCATTGTCAACAAGGATGTATTTAGAGATCCTGCTCTGAAACGTAAGGCACGGCGAGAGGCCAAAGTGAAATTTGAAGAAAGGTGAATTTTGAATGAAGTGATGTTTCCAGTTGAATCCAAGCTATAGACCAGTGTTTCCCAAACTTGACCCTTTGAAGATGTATGGACTTCAACTCCCAGAATTCCTCAACCAGGCATACTGGTTGGGGAATTCTGGGAATTGAAGTCCATGCATCTTAAAATAGCCAAGTTTGGGAAACACTGCTATAGACCTTAACTTTTAAGGGAGCAAAAAAAATATATCAGAAAAAGTGGATACAAAACAATTTCAGTTTTGCCAATGGTGATGACATGACTCTAGAACAATGCAGCTATCATAAATACATGCTAGTTGCCAAGCATCTAAATTTTGATCACATGACTGGGTATGTTGTAATGGTCATAAGTGAAAACTGATCATAAGTCACTTCAGTGTTGTTGTAACTTCAAGTGATCACTAAACAAACGGGCTGTAAGTCAAGGTTACCTGTACTTTGAGTTGCCCTAATAAAGGAAATGCTTTAAGAAGGAATTTACCATATGTTCTAATGGTTGATATGGCTTATTTTATAACTTCTGTGTTTCTGTCAATATCTCTTGCTTTATATCAATCTTCCATATTGGTTCCCTTCTGAATATGTTAGGTCTACAAGTCCTAAAATTCTCAACCATCATATTTATTATAAACATACTGATTGCCTAGTTTGTTTGATACATGAAGTGATTGCTTTGGCTGATGCTTATCAGAGATTTGCAAAACCATTAACCAAAATTGTTTTCTTTCTTTCAGATACAAGACAGGAAAGAACAAGTGGTTTTTCCAGAAGCTCAGATTCTGATTCGTTTTCAACTGAACCAATAAATGCTTTTGAAAACCCTATTTCTCTGTAATTGTAGTGCAAGCTTCTTCCTTCATAGATTTGTTAGAATTAGGCTGCCAGAACTGGCCAGCAGAAATCCAGTTGACTGAAGAAGACAATAGAGTTTGCTTTACAGCATTACTGCCATCTGCTGGTTGTCTGGATTTTTGCCTAGATCTGGTAGTATTAGACCAGGGGTGTCAAACTCAATTTCATTGAGGGCTATATCAGGGTTGTGTTTACTGTCAGGGAGCTGAGGTGGGTGTGGTCAGCTTGACGTCATTTGTGTCGGGTGTCTGTGGTGGCCTGAGTGTTCTGCCAGCAAACATGGCTCTGTTTTCGGCTGCGATGGCCTGCAACCCTCTGCCACCAAAAACGGAGCTCTGGAGGACCACCTGCAGCCCTCCCAAGCTCCGTTTTTGCTGGCAGAGGCGCCATAGGCCAGTCCGTTGCTGTTTTCAGGGCGGCCCCACAGACCAGAACTAACACCTCATGTTAGGGGCGGATCCGGGCCTTGAGTTTGACACCCCTAGACTAATTAAATACATTGTCAAGTATAGTAAAGAGTGGAATACACAAAAGGTGGTCTAATTCCAATATGTGTTGGGACAAATTTAAATTGAGAGCTGTCTTCTAATTATGATTAAGGGAATTCTGAAGATCTATAAACTGACTGTCCGACTGAATAGACAAAAATAAATATCCAATATTTAACAGTATGCTATATAACAGAATGGGGAATACATTGATAGGAAATGATAATATGCATGTGATTATTACTACAGTACACTTACACTATGCTCCTCTTGAGGTTTCAGTATTCTTCATTAATACAAATAAATTGCTGGTTGAAGTAAAATGAGATACTAAAAAGGAGCAAAAATTATTTGGACATTATTTTTTGAGTAGTACCCTGAGTAAGGTGAACTTTTTTTTTTTTTTAGATAAGGGCTTTTTATTATTTTCTTTGTGATAGAATTAAAAAAACCATATTGGCACCTGAAAGCTGAGTTACCTATTAGCCTGAAGTTGGCTACTTTACACATGGGGGGGAAGGGGGGCAAAGAAGTGGAGGGAAATGGGGAGTGAGTTTGCAACACGAGGAAAGCAGATAAGAGGAAACGAAAAGTGTAGCTTTAATTTTTCCAACACAAGTTCTTAAAATGAGTCTTGCATTCTAATTCCTGTCACACTTGAATAACAGTTACTGAATAGGAAAAAGTTATATGTTGCTTTTTTTATGTATAAGATAAGAATTAGAATTACATATCTTTCATGGTTTATTGCTTTTAATGTAAGTCTCCGAAAGTCGGTTGGGCAGCAAATAAATGAGGATAACAATTTGAAATGGTATCGGGTTTCCTGCTTAAGCAGGGGGTTGGAGTAGGAGACCTCCAAGGTCCCTACCAACTGTTTTTCTGCTCTGTTCTAAGAAGAGATTGGATAAACTAAAGAACAAGCCAGCTAACCAAGCAAGTCGAAGTACAGCATCCATTTCCTGAAGTTTATGATACGGCTCCGATGTTGGGGCAGAAGTTGGGTTTTCCGGAAGGCGCATGCATATAAATTGTCCAGTCCGAACTGGGTAGGTTTTCGGATCCTTCCGAAGTAGAATTTGACTTAGACCTTTTTGATTAAAGCTCCGCCGGGCTGAGAACCAAACAGCTTTAGAAAAGTTCTGATAAAACACGCCTCCTTTCTCGATCACCTGGGAATTTTGCCCGAAAGACGGGGCTGACGGGAAAAAGTCGAAGGTCCTTGAAATCGAAAGTGGAAGCGAACTTCGAGAAGCGAGCACCACGAATTTTGGAGGTAAACAGTTTGGGGACGGGCCAAGAACCAAGTAGTTTCTTCCCTAAAGTTGCGAAGATCTACAAAAATGACGTTTTTCTTTTAATGGAGAATTGCGTTCCGTGACCGCGACAGTGTTACCCTCTCCTCCAGTCATGACAAGCCTCCCGGAAAATAGGTGCTCTTGTTCTTAGGTCAGAAGAGATTGGGAAAGAAAGATGCCATACGCAGTTTCGTCGAGGGAGGGGGGCAGAGGGGAAGGGCTGTCCTTGGCGTTGTCTGAGCTTGATTGTCCTAGAGGTGCTGTTCAAAAGGCTAATGGACTTACTTTGATTTTTCCTTATGTTTTTTCCACTTATGACTGTATGACTGTCATAAGTAACCTTGTTGCTTGTATCCTTACGATTTATATTGACTGTTTCCTAATATGATTTTAGGGTACTTATTTGTACCCTATGACTATCATTAAGTGTTGTACCTTATGATTCTTGACGAATGTATCTTGTCTTTTTATGTACACTGAGAGCCTATGCACCAAAGACAAATTCCTTGTGTGTCCAGTCACACTTGGCCAATAAATAATTCTGTTCTATTCTGTTCTATTTCTTGAAGACGTTTTGCTTCTCACCCAAGAAGCTTCTTCAGTTCGCTTTGTTTCTTGGATGAGAAGTGAAATGTCTTTAAGGAAAAAACACAGAAAGTCCAGTTGCCTTTTGAAAAACATCTTTAGGACAACCATGACCTGAATGACTGAGAATCTCCAACGACATCTTGAACTTGGTTTTTTTCTTGCTGTTGTTTCATTATCCAAAGTAGGTAACATAATCAGTGGTAGCTCTGAAGAAATTACCCAGTCTAAGTAATGAAAAGTCGGCAAGAAAACAACCAAGCTTACACAGCAACAAGAACCCCTCATTTCAACCCTGAGCTACAAATACTCTATGAGTTTCATCCTCAAGAACAGGCTTGATTGTGGTGTGATGTTAGGATACCAGTTCACAAGTTCTGGAACTTAGCCCTTTCTTATGAGAAAGGAAGGGGGAGAGGTTCACATTTGGGTTGGGACTTCCTCTTTTCTCTTGCCCAAGGCTGGAGTGGGACAATATTCCAGGGCAAAAAGTTTGCTAATCTGAAGTGGGTTTTTTTAATGCTCATTTTTAGCTACCCTACAAGGCATGGATTATTGGAATTGCAGGACAAAAATTAATAGACTGTTTACTAACTGTTGGGCTCAGAGTTTCCAGAGTTGCTGGGTTTTTAACTCAGATTTAGGTTTTTCACTCCCTATCTGAATTTCTATATTTTAAGAACTGTTTTTTAAGGTTTTCTAAATCTTACATTATACTGTATGTATTAAATAAGTGAAATAATTTAAAATAATTTATTGTATTTTGGGTCAGCTGTGGTTTTTGTGTTGAATCTTGGTTTATTGAGCCTGAAATCTCATTTTAAGACCTCCTATTCCAACTTTGATAAATAGGTAAAAATAATTAAATTTAAAACTGATTTATTCTCTCTCTCTGTGTGTGTGTGTGTGTATATGTGTGTGTGTGTGTGTGTGTGTGTGTAGAATCTGGATTTATTTGAGCGCAAGACCTTGAGTTGTTTTTTAGGAAACCCTGCTGGCAACCTTAGTTGTTTTTAGGTCTTGGTGAAAGGAACACAAAACAGCCAGAAAACATTGGATAAGTTTACAAAAGATGATAAATTTTCCTACACCGATCTCTCAGATGAGACAAAAGTATGATCAGGGGCAATTGGGCACTGTCCAGCCCCAATTTTTAGCAGCTGCTTGAGAAGAGGTCATGCCTCAAAGACCAACAGTTAATGTCACTGTGTTTGGGAGTCTTATTTGCCACAGAGGATACTTTTTCTTCCTTCCATTCTAGGATATGTTGACTTATCTCCATTCACCCCTGCTGCAGTAGATAGCAATGCCATTGACATCAGTGGTTTCATAACTACAGATATGTTTTGCCCTCTCTGGGTACAACAAGCTAGCACGAGAAGAAAACAAATAATACAAAAAAATGCTAGTTTGTCATCTACCTGAAGAACAAATTCTACCTCAAGATGTTGCTAGAGCAGAACTTGAGAGAATTTTTGCCAATACTCAGAGACTGAGAGACCAGCCTTGGAAGGAATAAGGGAATGACATAGCAATCAGAAAAACAAATTAAATGGGATGTTCAAACGAACAATTGGAGGACAGATGATAAACTACCTCAACAGTTAGATTTCATACACCATTTGTCCCAAACTCTGAATGATCACAGACAAAGTAAGAGCACTATATCCAGTTATGTTAATTGTGATCTCTTTTGCCATGAGAGGTAAAATTATTAAATTTGACAGGATAATAACATTCTTACAACCTATAATGTCCCAGGTTGCACACTTGCTAGATAGAAGGGATATTGTATTAACTTGTGGACATCTAGTTGATGATAATTTTTTTTGCTTTTTTAAAAAAGATTGACTGATGTACATACTAACTTCTGCTAAAATGCTCAAAGTAGTTCTAGAGAAAACAGCATACTCAGGCTTAACATTGCTAGATATTATTATTAGAGCTATACATGGACATCCTGACTTCTCTTGGTCTCATTATCAGATTATACCAAAATGAATGAGACTGCCTTGATCTCTATAAGAAATAATAATTATATTTTAGTTATTTTAGAGATTTAACACAAGTAAGATCAACTCTCTACAAAATTTGGCCTGGATGTGTGGGAGATTGCTGATTATGACAGTAGATAAATCATTGGGCAATTACCAAAGAATTGTTGAAGACAAAATTAATAAGATCAAAATCACCGACCTGATAACAGCATATACTCACTCTAATAGACTTGAACAGTGAGATAACAATTGAAGAGCACCACCTTTTCCAATGAAAGTCCATGGTTGGTAGAAGAATATTGAAGAAATATTCAAACAAATTTGTAACTATAAGAATACCTGCTGATCCTGATGAACAATGGGATGGAGCTATGGCCTGTCTAGCACCATCTCAATATCCAGGATCCTAGACACTGTTTATTATTTCTCACCTGAGTTTATTTGAAAATCATAAAGTATCTACTGTTCTCACCTTGGCTTCCTGAGACAGTAAAAAGCACACAATTAGTCCCAAAAACCCTCTTTATTTGAATGGCTGTGAATTCTGTTCATTCACAACCCGTGATGAGTCACAAATAGTTTGTAAAGAGTCCAACAGAACTTTGGGATAAGGCTGATAAGCACCCATCTTTATCTCCCTTGACACACTGCCAAAGACCTAATTGGCAATTAGCTTTCAAGGCCATACGGAGCACAGAGTCAAAATGGAGCTTCAGAATTTAAACCGATCAGAATGAACAAAGTTGCTGCCTACAAAGGCTCATGTGCCTTTGTTCCTCCTTTTATGTCTTATAGGAGGGCTAATCATTTCCAAGGCTTACTCCCAAATCGTCTCTTTTGTCTTAACTGTTCTTGCTTTTTGGTAGTTCTGTGCATGTGCAGAACTACCAGGCTCCCCCTGTTCCTCTGCCTCGCTGATGTCAGACTCTGGAGGCTCTGGAGTCAGCACATAACTCCCAGATAGCCCTGTCCCCAACTCTGCCTCTGACTCAGAGCTCTCTTCTGAGCCTTCCCCAGACTCCAGGACTGGCCAACTTTCCTCCCCAGCCTCTTCACTGTCCGACTCGGCTCCACAGGCTGCCAGTGAACCACAACATCCACTAAGTATTCTCTGGTTGTTGTTTTTTAGAGATAATTGCCATTGCCAATAGTTACATTCATGTAACGCTTGAAATATAAAAATACGGTTGCTTCATAATTATGGTATCTCCCCTGCCAGCGATGTAGTGGAAAAGAAGACTATGTACTTACATTGTTAGGTATTTTTGTTAATTTTTACTGGATCTGCTGATAAGGAGAGTTGAAGATTGAGAGATGAGGTAATAGAAAATGGGGTGAGGTATATAATCAAGATATATATGGTTGTATTTTAAAAGACAGTGATAAATTGTTAATATTGAATATATTTGCTAGGGATGAAGGGAGAAGATTCTTACTGTTTTCTTATGGAGGGGATTTCTTTTTCTTTTTTCCACAGCTTTTTTCTTTTTTTAAAATGTAATTTTGCATTGGGTTTTTAATATTAGTTTTATCTATTTAATAAAATCATTATTAAAACTATTGGGAAAAATATATGATTTAGCTCATCCAATTATTGCATGAATCTAGTCCCAGAGATTTGTAATGCATGCCAATTAAATTCCTGGAAAGTACAAGCCAAGTCAGCAATGTATAGTTAACTAAAGTTAGCATGATGTCTGAACTCAAACAATACTGTGGTTTTAGACCTATTAAAATTGAAAAATGGGGGGAAAGGAGGAGGGATATTGATAACCAGAAAGTCTTCCAGTGGTTAAAAAGTGGGGATTTTAGATCATAAGCTTTCTCTATTTCTTATGGTCTCTTGAGGCAGATTAAATTGGGTAAAAGTCGCATACAATTGCAGAATGACTTGAGATTTTCCACCGTGAAATGTACTCTAAATGTCATCCTTCAATTTTTTTCTTCCAGGATTATCACCACTATGGATTTAACTACAGTAACCACTACAACACTGTCCCCTTGCGATCCGGTAGTAAAGGTAAGTAGAACCCACCCCTGTTATGCTTCCACATGAGGGAGATTGCTTCCTTCTCCTCAGCTCTCTTCCCATTCCTTTGTGATCACCTTCATATTTCTTTGTAGGAAGAAGGCTGTGAAGCATCTTTTGATCCACAGGAGTCCTTCATCCATTTGGGAAGTGACAGCTTTGTTGCAAGTGGACCTTGCAAGATGACAAAAGACCAAATCTTAAATGAGATTAAGAGATACCAGGTATTTTATTTGGAGAAGAGGAATATCTTTAGTGGTTCAAATGAAATATGTGGGTATTCAGTCATTCTTCAGAAACCCTCATCTACACTCCTACCTATAGGTCAAGTTTGAGTGCTTGGTAACAATTGAGGTTCACTAGACATGCCCCATCATTAATATTCCATCATTGATTCCTGTTGTTGAACCAGGAACATACAGTACTATTGTTCTTAATATATTCTTTTTAGCCTTCCATTTAAATTAACTTTGTCTCAGTTTAAGCTTAAGAGAATATTTCTGATTGCTTTTTGGTTGTCTTTTCAACTTCAGGATATGTGTGAAATTTGTGAAGGAGATTGCTTATCCTTGAAGGCAAACACAAGGGCAAATGAGCAGGACTTGATCAAATTCCAAGAAGAATATGAGCTTCTCAGTCGAAATATTCTTGAACCTGAAAATGAGGGCCAGGAAGCCTCTTTCCAGGTCTGACCATTTTAAATCCAGAATTACATATAATCTTCCTATAAATTTAGATTTTTAGAATTTAGATTATAATGGAAGAACATGTTGACTGCATCATTATATTACTTCTGATTGCCTACAGAAATCTCCAGGAATGAAGATGAGGCCCACTACAGTAGCTCTAATGTGCCACATTTTAAAAATAGACTCTCTATGTTTTAATTTGAAATAAACATTTTGACAATGCTTAAAAGAAGTTCGATGTTGTAAATTATATGCTTATATTGGTTCAGTTAAGCCTTACATTGCCTATTTTACACAATTTCTTTCTTCTTGCAGCCACTGGGTAAATAAATTTGAAGTAGAGACTTCTAAGAATTTGATCTTCTCATCTGTAGAATTTTTCTTAAGAACTTTGGCCCAAATTAGAATTTTCCCCAGTTATTGCCATTGCACATTGCAAGCTTTTGCTTGCAGACACTTGGGTAAAATCCAATAAGATGAACTGTGCATGCTATGCCACGTCTAGTAACTGGTAGTAGTAATTAGTAATTCCAGTTGGCATATATTAGTAACTAGTAATTCCAGTTGGCATATATTAGAAATCACAATTTCTAATGTAGAAATGAAACTGTGCAGCCCTGTAGCAAGGAAGATGTGCCACCTTCTGTTTAATAGCAGAAAAGCTTGATCAACCTCATATTCTGAATAACTCTGTCAGCCTGTGTTTAATCACTTGCCTGTGTTTAATCATGGCTTGCTCAACCCAGTTTTTTAGGTTCAAAGGACTCAATAAACCAATAAATAAGACACAATTAAATTTGCCAAATACACTTAACTAAAATGTACTTGGTTAATTTATAATACAGAGTATTGAGGCAAATGCTGCCATTGTTTCCCACATTTTGTTATCTCTAGAATTGTTCCTGCCAGATTCCCTAGGCTCAGGCCTCTTGTCACAAGATGAAACCCTGGAGAGAGTTTCTGCTGTAGTTGTCTAGAAGTTGATAGACTGTAATCTGTTTTCTCAGAGAAAACAGTAGTGCATCTTTGGATTGCCATCCAATGGCAAAGAAATGCCACTTGTTCAGATTTGGTGACCTACCTTCTTCTCTGCAGAAAATGCTTCAGTTGGAAAAGGATTCAAACCAGCTAATGCAAAAAAAACAGGCATTGGAAAACGAATTGAAATATCTGGAGCAGCTCCATGGAACCCAGGAAGAAATTCTTAAGGTATCAGGACAAATAGGTTTAAAGATTTAAAAAAAAATATGGCTCTGCAAAGACATATTATTTTATTTAAATTCTTACAGGTAAGCTTTGGCTCAGAGCTATACAAATTATTCAAAACTTCAGCCAGAATTTTTTTTCAAATTTCTTCATTTGGAAGAATTCTCTATACCACTTATTTTTCTTTTTCTCTTTTTCTATTAAATATTTGTATTTATCTCAAAGATAAGATATTACTTATAAAATAAAAAATTACAAAGACAATAAAAAGAAAGACAAAAATTACAGAGAAAACAAAAAAGTAATAATAAAAATGTGCACAACATAAATAGAATCAACATTAAATATAATTGACCATCTTGATTGAATGTTGAGAGATATATCTCAAATTTGTAAATTCTCCCCCTTCCACAGTGCAAATAATTATAAACTTTCTCATCTATACTTGCTATATTTGGTATATTGCTATTTTACACTATTGCTTCTTAAAAAATACCTCAAGTATAGAAATCTAATATCTATCAATCAGGTCAACCCGATACCCATTTATTGGGGCTTGACATGATGTCAGTCACATTTTCAGCCTTATAAACCAACTCAGGAGGCAAAAGCATTTGGTATAGGTACATTTGTGTCTTGAGTCCCAACTTGTGTGCAAGGAACTAGTAAGCCTGTTGCACAGGCGAGAGTGTCTCAAGATTCCCTGTTTGATTCAAATTCAAATCATTATTGTCAGTGCACAACATATGTACAATGAGATTGGTTGAGCTCCTTCAGTGCACCCCCCAACACAGTACAATTCACAGTCAAGACAAAAAATCCCTAACCCAATAAATCATATTATCACTCAGTCCTATTGCACCAGTGTGAACATGTTACACATTGCGCCAGCCCTGCAAGTCCATCATACTATGTAGTTATGATGTTATTTCGCATTCAGGAGTCTGACAGCCCATGGATAAAAATTGTGCAGCTGGCTATAATTCTACCATCTCCTTCCCGATGGTAGGAGGATAAAGAAGTGGTGACGAGGGTGTTATCCCTGAGGATTTTCCTCACTCTTCTAAGGCAGTGAGCCCTAGCAATCTCATCTAGTGATATCAGGGGCAGCCCATGATGTTTTGTGCTGTACTCATCACCCTCTGTTTTTCTATCCGCGGCTGTCAAACCGGTATGCCATAACGTGATGCAATAAGTGAGGACGCTTTCTATTGTGGTCTGGTAAAAAGAGGTCATCAGTTGTTGTTCCACCCTGTTTTTACGCAAGATCCTAAGGAAACTGAGTCTCTGTTGGGCCTTTCTGGCCATCTGGATCATGTTGTTTTTCCAGGTGAGGTCTTCGCTGAGATGGACTCCCAGGAATTTAAAGGAGGAAACTCACTACACAGCCCTCGATGTAAAGTGGGGCAGGTTCCTCTCTCTTCCTCTGGAAGTCCAACACAATCTCCTTGGTCTTGCTGATGTTCAGGTGCAGGTTGTTTTTTAAGCACCATGTCGATAGTTTTTGAATCTCCCCCCGTATGTTGTTTCATCTCCACCTGTAATAAGATTACAGCATTACGATGGTGTCATCTACGAACTTAATGATCACAGTGGATGGGTCAGATGATACACAATCATGTGCGTACAGTGAATACAGGTAGGAACTAAGCACACAGCCCTGTGGGGAACCAGTGCTAAGCTTCAGGGATATGACAGACCCAACCCTCACTGTTTATGGCCAGTCCCTCAGAAAGTCTTTGATCAAGTCGCAGATGGAAGAGGGAAAATCCAAGTCAGTTTTTTAATAAGGATGCTCGGCAGAATGGTATTGAAGGCCAAGCTATAGTCTATGAAAAGCATCCTGCCAAAGTTCTCAAGATGGCTCACTATAAAATGTAAAACAGTAGCTATGGCATCATCTGTCAACCTGTTCCCCCTGTAGGCAAACTGATGTTTGTCAATGTCTGGTGGGAGGCATGTCCTAAGGTGTTGGAGAACCAATCTCTCGAAGCATTTCATCACAGACGTTAATGCAATGGTCTGTAGTCATTTAGGCAGTTAATTGTTGTTTTCTTTGGGACTGGGACAACAGTGGTTGCTTTCAAGCATGATGGAACACAGGCCGTTTGCAGGGAGATGTTAAAGATCCTTGTCAGGACCCTTGCTAATTGATCGGCACAATTCTTTACCACTATCCCTAGGACCACATCTGGGCCTGCAGCTTTGCTAGCCTTCAATACAGCTCTCACTTGGTGTTCGTAGAGAGTGAGTATATAATGTATATAAGTATATAATTCGATGTATATAACTTTGCATTGCTCAGGTGCCAGCTGCTCTTCCTGAGAGAGAAATGGTGTATAAAGGTCATGTGGAAGAGAGAAAGATGGAAAACTTGCCAGAAATTCTGAGTTTCCTGCCCCAGATCCGATATCCTATACTTGGGGGATCAGCTCTTATCACTTTTGAGGATCCTGAAGGTAGGAACAACCACTTTAAAAGTGACATTCTCGTTCTCAGCATGATGGCCAATAGTTGTGAATCATAATGGAAGTAAAGAATATGAATTTTTTTGGAGGGAGAAAAAAATCAAAATAGTATAAGAATAACATGATTTATATTGACTTCAAATCAGTTATTAGTTAAAGCTTACTTTGCCAAGGGGGTTTTTATTTAGCCTCAAGTAGTAAGGCTCATTCCTTTAAAATTGGAGAAAAATATTAAGCAGAAGAAATGAAAGGGAAGTATTACATGGATATTAATAGTCAGCTCTTTTAATCTGATCTCTATCATTTTAACCAATATCTTAACTGGTGACATTTCTCTATACCAAAACAAAAAAATAATAAGAAGAAAAGCTCTCCTACTTGTAGAAATGACGTATTGTAACCTTTCATTCAAGCAACTTATTTTCTATTCAGAGGAAATTATCTTGCCTAAAATACGGAAACAATCTGTAACTTTCAGTAAGAACTGAGTGCAATTAGAGAATTTGGTAGGGATATTTTGATCAAGGCAGTGACCCCTTTACAGGTCCTGGGCACCACTGCTTTATCTTGCACAGTGATCCAGATATTTTCCAAAGATTTAAAAAAAAAGAATCAACAAAAGAAAATGCATTTCAAGCACAAGTTCTAACTTCAGGAACCCTCCCTTTTGTATTTTTGGCACTACCATCAGAGGTGGGTTCTAAAAAATTTTACTACTGATTCTGGAGAGTGGCTAGGGAGGTGCATGACTAAGTGGGCATGGCCAACTTGATGTCACTCATGCACTCAGTCACATGACACCCCCTACCAAGCCACCCCCACCAAAACGGTGCCAAAAGTTTTCGGGACTTTTTGATACTTTATTTTTGACACTCCGGCCCCATATCCAGGTTGGGACGCGGTGGGGTGGCGGTGGTCATCTCGGCTTTCCCTTGCCTTTCCTGGCCAAAAAGCGTCCCTTCTCACCTCTGACGGGCCTTTCCCGTGGTTGCAGCCAGAGCACTCCACTCCTGCCGGCCGGGTCCTGTCTGCGAGATGAGCGTGTAGGAGAAAGGCTTCCCTCTGGATCTTGGCGGCGGCTTCACTGAGGACACGTCCAGGCCCCCAGTCAAATGGGTGAACCTATTTCTTTCTTTTAAAAGAAAAAAAAATGCTTTTAAAAGAAAACAAAAGCCTCTGACAATCAGGCAACTCAGGGATCATCAGAGCCTTTTAAAAGCATTTTTTTTTACAACCTCTTCGGGCCGAAGAGGTTATAGAAAAAATGCTTTTAAAAGTAAAATAAAAAAAGCTGGCCATGCCCATCCAGTCACATTACACCTCCCCACCAAGCCACACCACAGAACCGGTAGTAACAAATTTTACATTTCACCAGGAGAGAGTATTTTCCTGATCCAACAGAGGACCAGAATGAGAACTTCAACTGACAACTATGTACTATATACAATACATAACAGAGATGGTCCAAAAATTTTGAATGAGAAAATTAATTAGGGATTGTTGAACTGGCACAAGAGATGCAGATAGAAAAGACTGGTTTGGTTTGAATATGTCTCTTCCATGGCTTTTCCCCATCAGTTGCCAGGAAGATCATCCAAATAAAACAGCATTGCATTCAGCTAGATGAATTGAGTTACATGCATGTGAAGGCTGAAGCTATGACATTGTTGCTGCCCTCATTCTTAAAGGTAAGTTCTGTAGTCTTTGATTGTGGAGGAATGCATGCATTGGAGGGTCTACTGTAGAAAGGGACTCTAACTGCAAGTAATATTATCTTCCCATTGTCTTCTCATCTAATCTACCTCAATCTGTAATTAAAGATATCCCAATCAGTCCTGCTTATTGTTTCAGTCCCTTAATAGGTGAGTTGAAGAGGGAATGTTGGCAGGCACATCTAATCATATGGTGAGATATAGGAGTTTGAAAAAAAGTGGGCTAGCAGTTCAAATTAAAATGAAGCAAAAACATTCCGCTTACATTTTCAAATGGCAAAGTTATATATTTTCCTTATCACTTGCACAACTTGTTTGAATTTTATTTTTGGTAATATATTTTCCATGAATTACTTAAGGAGAAAGTCAAGGATTGTGAACATCTAAAAACAGATAGCCAATTGCAAGACTCAAATAAATTACAATTTCTTACTTTTTTGGAGCCAGATTACTGGAATATTGAAGATGTAGTAGTTCCATAGCCAGAAGCAGAAGAACAGTAATAGTAGTTCCATGGCCAGAGCATGGAGTAGAGCAGCAGTAGTTCCATGGCCAGAAGCAGAAGAACAATTGCTTGAATTTGATGAAATTTTTAATTATGAAATTAATATGAACGATTACAGAGATTTTGTAGAAAATGTATTAAAAGATTCAAAGAACTATGCAATTCATGACAGTATTAAAAAAATACTGATATTTTAAAATTTAAAAAAGCTACATATATTGTCAGAACAATTGCTGTGAGTTCAGCAGAGGTGAAGAGGGGGTTTTCAAAAATGAACCCCATATGTTCAGAATAAAGAAGTTGCCTAATTCCCCATTTCCTCTTTCATGGCAGAATTAATGCCCAGGATAGGAAAGACAAAAGACTTAGGACAAGATTAACCCAGGTAAACAGGAAAAAAACACCTAGGGCAATCAGAAACACATCAGAACCCATCAGGTTGCAGGAGCTCACAAAGCTGCACAAAGCTGAATATATGAAAGCTGCTATTGAGTCACATAAAATGCCTTCACATAAAACCTTCTTGCAGCTTGCTGAAAGAAGCAACCACCTCACAAAAATTATACAACTTCAAAAATCAGTAATCATACTTACACACAAAATCTCACAAAGCTTGGGCAAATCTGAAAAAATTATTTCCCCCAAAAAACATTTCCTAAAAAGAATAACATTCCCCCAAAAAAATTTCCTAAAAAGAATAACATTAAAAGATAAATCTAGAAGAGAAAGATAAATCAGTTAATAATGGAAATGTCACCAGGAACCAGGTACTTATTACCATATAAGGGTGGATATGTCGAGAAACTAAAAATTATTGGAATAAAATAAAGAAATGGCTGGAAGAAATGATACAATAACATATTGATTTAAAACCAGACCTGTTCCTATTGAGTATCCTGCCAAAAAAAATTAGCAAAGAAAATATTTATTTGATTATACATATAATAATAGCTGCACAACATTGGAAAGCAGAGAAAATACCTTTGGGAAGATTTTAAAAAGTTTAGATTCTACAGAAATGAATAGATTGACTTTGATGATTAAAGAAAAAGAAGATTCAGAATATTTTAAGACATGGAATCAATTCTATTCTTGGTTAGAAAAGAGATACAGATAAGTAAATTAATAGTTATATATAAAAATCCTATAATCAGAATACTTTGTTAGTGATGAATTGTTGTAATTGATTCGATGAGAATGAAGACAGAAGGAATAACAAAAAGAAGACCGATTGGAGAAAAAACCAAGATGTCACATGGAAGGAATGACTCTTGTATTAAATGATTGTTTGTTTATAAAATGAAAAACTTAAAAAAATATTTCCAAAAAAAGAATAACATTCCCCCAAAAAACATTTCCTAAAACTAATATTTCTCTAAAAAAAACATTTCTCAAACGAATAAGATTCCCCGAAAATAACATTTCTGGAAAGAATAACGTTCTCTCAAAAATAATATTTAATATTATTAGGAAATAATATTTCCTAAAATATTATAATATTATTAGGAAATAATATTTCATAAAAATAAAACATTTTCACATTGTAATTGATTCAATGAGAATGAAGACAGAAGAAATAACAAAAAGAAGACCGATTGGAGACAAAACCAAGATGTCACATAGAAGGAATGACTGATATGTTTGTTTGTTTAAAAAGTAAAAAAAAAAAACATTTCCTGAAAAGAATAACATTCCTCCAAAAAAACATTTCCTAAAAGAATAACCCCACAAAAAAAAACATTTTTGAAAAGAATAACATTCCCCCAAAAAACATTTCCTAAAAAGAATAACACTCCCCCCAAAAACATTTCTGAAAAGAATAACATTTCCCGAAAATAACATTTCCTAAAAAGAATAACATTTCCACAAAAAAATTTCCTAAAAAGGATAACATTTCTGCAAAAAGATATTTCCTAAAAAGAATAACAGTCCCCCCAGAAAACATTTCTGAAAAGAATAAAATTTCCCAAAAATAAAATTTCCTAAAAAGAATACCATTTCCAGAAAAAAATATTTCCTGGAAAGAATAACATTCCCCCAAAGAAACATTTCCTAAAAAGATTAAGATTTTGGTTTTCTTTCTTTTTTTCTTTTTTCTTTGGCTATTCCAACTATTGGGAAAGATTAGGCACTTGGATTATAAATATGAAGAAATTTACACCACACTTACACCATACAGCAAGCCCCCCGTCAACACAGAAAACTTTGGAGATGATGGGATTAAGACATTTTATACAATCTCTTCAAGAAGACTTAAAACAGGAAATAAAAGAAATGAAAGTCATGATTGGGAAAAATGAAGAGAGAATCCAGAAAGTTGGAAAAGCTGAAATGAGAGAAAAGAAAGTTGAGAAATTAGAAGAAAAATTGGTACCAACTGAAAAGAAAATTATTATGTTTGGAGATGGAGCGTTCTGAGTTTTACTTAAGATTTCAAAATATAGAGGAGGAAAAAAGGGAAAATTTACCTGAGGGGATTGCTGAGATATTATCAGAAGTTATAGAACAATCCAAGGAAAAGATCTTAAACGAGATTGATGAAGCCTTCAGAGTATACACTAGATATGCAATGTGGAACAAACTACCGAGGCATGTAAGATTTACGAAGAAGGCAGTGAAAACAAAGGTATTACAAACAGCAAGAAATACAGCACTGAAACACAAAGATAAAGATATTGTGGTATTAAGACAAATACCTAGAAGAGTTAGAGAACTGAGGAGAGACTATCAGTTTCTAGCGAGTTCCTAATACTCAAAGGAATGAGTTTTGATGGTTAATACCGGAAGGAAATTTGGTGACATGGCAAGAACAAAGACACAGACTTGACTGTACTGAAAAAGCAAAACTATTTTATCAACAATTTTGCGGACCATTAGAAGAAGATTTGAGAGTTATAGGAGAGATAAAGCAAAAAGATGAAGAGAAAGACAAAGATGAAAAAGCAAAGGAAGAAAGAGCCCTAAGAGAAGGAGCGAGATCTAAAGATCCAATGGAAAAAAGAGAGACAAGGGCGATGAAGTCAAAAACTAGTAACAAGTAAAACATGGAAGAAGAAGTTAAAGCAATATCTTTAAATGTAAATGGACTGAATGCGGAGATAAAAAGAAACAGAACTTTATCTAAATTAAATAGCTTGAAGATGGACATTATATGCCTACAAGAAGTACATATTAGAAAACAAGATTTAAAATTATTACAATATCCAAAGTTAGGAGTTCTTCTTGCATCATTGATACAACAAAGCAAAAGAGGAGTGGTGTTGTATATCAAAGAAAGATTAGAACCTAAATTACTTTTGAGGATGAAGAGGGCAGGATTCTGATGGTAGAAATAAAAATGAACTTTAAACAAATACTTTTGATAGCAATAAATGGCAACAGTTATGGGAAAGAAATTATAAATTAACAATGTTCACTGCATATAAGGAAAATCAATATGAAATGTTTTATAGATGGCACACACCCCTGAGAAATTGGCAGAATGTTTAAAGATAAATCAGCTAAATGTTGGAAATGTCATCAGTCACCAGGTTCTTATTACCATATAGGGCGGACATGTCCAGAAGCTAAAAATTATTGGAATAAAATAAAGAAATGGCTGGAAGAAATGATACAACAACATATTGATTTAAAACCAATCTGTTCCTATTGGGTATCCTGCCAGAAAAAATGAGCAAAGAAAATGTTTATTTGATTATACATGTAATAATAGCTGCAAGGATTGTTTATGCACAACATTGGAAAGCAGAGAAAATACCTTTGGAAGGATTTTAAAAAGTTTAGATTCTGCAGAAATGAATAGGTTGACTTTGATGATTAAAGAAAGAGAAGACTCAGAATATTTTAAAATCCTAAAAATAACAACATTTCCCCAAAAAAACTTTTCCTGGAAAGAATAACATTCCCCCAAAATAACATTTCCTAAAAACAATAACATACCCCAAAAATAACATTTCTGAAAAAAATAACATTTCCCGAAAAAAAACATTTCCTAAAAAGAATAACATTACCACAAAAAAAAGTTTCTGAAAAGAATAACATTTTCCCCAAAAAACATTTCCTAAAAATAATAACATTTTTCTAAAATAACACATTTCTCAAAAGAAATATATATATTTCTAAAATATATTTCTAAAAATATTTCGCCAAAAAACATTACTGAATGTTTTTTCAACAAAAAAAATTCCTAAAAAGAATATCATTTCTCATAAAAAAAACATTTCTGAAAAGTGTAACATTTCCCAAAAAATATTTCCTAAAAGAATAACTTTCCCCCAAAAAAACATTTCCTAAAAGAATAACATTCTCTGAAAATAACATTTCTCGAAAGAATAACATTTCCCAAAAAAAAAAAAAAATTCTGAAAGGAATAATATTCTCTGAAAATAACATTTCCCCAAAATAATAACCTTTCTGCAAAAACATATTTCCTGAAAGGAATAACATTTCCCCAAAGAAACATTTTCTAAAAACAATAACATTCCGAAAAAAAACCCATTTCTTACAATGAATAACATTCCCCTTAAAAAATCATTTCTGAAAAGAGAAACATTTCCGCAAAATAACATTTCCTAAAAAGATTAACATTTCCCCCAAAAAAACACTTCCTGGCAAGTATAGCATTCCCCGAAAAAAAACATTTCCTAAGGAGAATAACATTTCTTGTAAAAAAACATTTCTGAAAAGAGTAACATTTCCCCAAAAAACATTTCCTAAAAGAATAACATTTCCGCAAAAAAGCATTTCCCAAAAAGAATAACATTTCCCCATAAAACATGTCCTAAAAGATTAACGTTCCCCGAAAATAACATTTCTCAAAAGAAAAACATTCCCTGAAAATAAAAGAATATTCTTTTATTCATAAAAGAATAACATTTCCCAAAAAAAAAGATTTCTGAAAAGAATAATTTTCCCCAAAAATAACACTTCCTAAAAATAATAACATTTCCGAAAAAAATATTTCCTCATAAGAATAATATTCCCCCAAAGAAAAATTTCCTAAAAAGAATAACATTCCCCAAAAATAACATTTCATAAACGAATAACATTTCCCCCCCAAAAAAACATTTCTCAAAATAATAACATTCCCCCCAAAAAACATTTCCTAAAAAGAATAACATTTTTCCTAAAAAAGATTTCTGAAAAGAATAACTTTCCCCAAAAATAATATTTCCTAAGAATAACATTTCCCGCCCAAAAAAATATGTCTGAAAAGAATAACATTCCTCGAAAATAACATTTTCTAAAAATAATAACATTTCCGCAAAAAAAAATTTCTTGGAAAGAATAACATTCCCCCAAAGAAACATTTCCTAAAAAGAATAACATAACCCAAAGAAACATTTTCTAAAAAGAATAGCATTTCCCAAAAAAAACCCATTTCCTAAAAAGAATGACATTCCTGAAAAGAATATCATTTCTCTAAAAAAACATTTCTCAAAATGATAACATTCCCTGAAACAAACATTTCCTAAAAATAATAACATTCCCCCAAAAAATCATTTCTGAAAAGAATAACATTTCCCCAAAAAAACATTTCCTAAGAAGAATAACATATCTCTAAAAAATACATTTCTCAAAAGAATAACATTCCCCGAAAATAACATTTTCTAAAAATAATAACATTTCTGCAAAAAAACATTTCTCAAAAAAATAACATTTTCCCCATAGAAACATTTTTGAAGAGAATAACATTTCCCCAAAATAACATTTCTGAAAAGAATAACATTCCCCCAACCATTTCCTAAAAAGAATAACATTTTCCCCAAAGAATTATGTCTCAAAAGAATAACATTACCCCAAAAAATATTTCCTAAAAATAATAACATTTCCGTAAAAAACATTATCTAAAAAGAATAACATCCCCCTAAAAAACATTTCATAAAAGATTAACTTTCCCCCAAAAAAATTCCTAAAAAGGATAACATTTCTCTAAAAAAATATTTGAGAAAAATTTCCCAAAAAAACCCCATTTCCTAAAAAGAATGACATTCCTGAAAAGGATAACATTTCTCTAAGAAAATATTTCTCAAAAGAATAACATTCCCCCAAAATAATATTTCCTAAAAGGAATAATATTTCCCAAAAAAACATTTCCTAAAAAAATAACATTCCCCCAAAAAAGCATTTCCTACAAAGATTAAAATTTCCCCCAAAGAAACATTCTGAAAAGAATAACTTTCCCCCAAAATAACATTTCCTAAAAATAATAACATTTCCGCAAAAAAAATTAACTAAAAAAAAAATCTGATAAGAATAACATTCCGCCCAAGAAACATTTCCTAAAAATAATAACATTCCCCCAAAAAACATTTCCTAAAAAGAATAACATTTCTCTAAAAATACATTTCCCAAAAGAATAAAATTCCATGAAAATAACATTTTTTAAAAATAATAACATTATTGCAAAAAAGCATTTGCTGGAGAGAATAACATTTCCCAATAAAATATTTCCTAAAAAGAATAACTTTATAAAAAAAAAAAATTACTGAAAAGAATAACATTTCCCCAAAAAAAACATTTCTCAAAAGAATAATATTCCCCATAAATAAAATATCCCAAAAATAATAACATTTCTGCAAAAAAAATTTCCTGGAAACAATATCATTTCCCAAAAAACATTTCCTAAAAAGAATAACATTTCTGCAAAAAAACATTTCCTAAAAAGAATAATATTTCCTGGAAAAAACATCTCCTAAAAAGGATAATATATCCCCCCCCCCAAAAAACATTTCTGAACAGAATAACATTTCCCAAAAATAACAAATGCCAAAAAGAATAACATTTTTCTAAAAATACATTTCTCAAAAGATAACTTTCCCCAAAGAATATTTCCTAAAAAGGATAACATTTCTCTAAAAAAAATATTTCTCAAAAGAATAACATTCCCCCAAAATAACATTTCCTAAAAGGAATAATATTTCCCCCAAAAAAATTCCTAAAAAAATAACATTCCCCCAAAATACTATTTCCTAAAAATAATAACATTCCCCAAAAAAACATTTCCTAAAAAGAATAACATTTCTGTAAAAATACATTTCTTAAAAGAATAAATTCCATGAAAATAACATTTTTTAAAATAGTAACATTTCTGCAAAAATAATGGATCAAAAGAATAACATTCCCCAAAAATAACATTTCTGAAAAGAATAACATTCCCCCAAAATAAAATTCCCCCAAAGAAACATTTCTGATCAGAATAATATTCCCAGAAAGAAACATTTCCTAAAAAGAATAACATTTCCCAAAAATAACATTTTCGAAAAAGAATATCATTTTTCTAAAAAATCATTTCTGAAAACAATAACATTCCCCCAAAATAGCATTTCCTAAAAATAATGACATTTCCGCAAAAATGCATATCTTGTAAAATATAACATTTCCCAAAAAAAACATTTGCTAAACGAATAACTTTCCTCCCAAAAAATATTTCCTAAAAAGAATAACATTTCTTTAAAAAAAACATTTCTGAAAAGAATCACATTCCCCCAAAATAATATTTCTGAAAATAATATCATTTCCCAAAAAAACATTTCTGAAAAGAATAACATTCCCCCAAAATAATATTTACTAAAAAGAATAACATTTCCCCAAAAAAGTGTCTCAAAAGGATATTTTCCCAAAAAACATTTCCTAAAATAATAACTTTCCCCTAAAAAACAAATCTAAAAAAATAACATTTCCCAAAAAAGAAATTTCTGAAAAGAATAACATTTCCCCCCAAAAAAATCTCTGACAAGAATTACATTCCCCCCGAATAAAATTTCATAAAAAGAATAACATTGCCCCAAAAATATTTCCAAAGTAATAACATACCCCAAAAGAAACTTATCGTAAAAATAACATTCCCCCCAAAAATAATTTCTGAAAAGGATAACATTTCCGCAATAAAAAATTTCCTAAAAGAATAACTTTCCCCAAAAAAATATTTCTGAAAAGAATAACATTATCCCCAAAAAACACATTTCTCAAAAGAATAACATTTCCTAAAAATAACATTTTCACAAAAAAATTTCCAAAAAGAATAACATTCCACAAAACAAACTTATCGTAAAAAGAATAACATTACCCCCAAAAAACATTTCTGAAAAGAATTTCACAAAAAAAAACATTTCTGAAAAGAATAACATTTACCCCCAAAAAAAACTCTGACAAGAATTACATTCCCCTAAGAAAACATTTCCTAAAAAGAATAACATTAACCCACAAAGCATTTATGGAATTTATAACATTCCCCCAAAATGACATTTCCTAAAAAGAATAACATTTTCAGAAAAAAAAATTCCTAAAAATAATAAAACTTCCGCAAAAAACATTAACTAAAAAGAATAACATTTCCGCCAAAAAAAAATTCTGATAAGAATAACGTTTCTCCCAAAAAACATTTCCTAAAAATAATAACATTCCCCAAAAAAACATTTCCTAAAAGAATAACATTTCCTAAAAATAATAACATTCCCCCATAAAAATTTCCTTAAAAGAATAACATTCCCCCAAAGAAACATTTCTCAAAAGAATAACAGTCCCCGAAAATACCATTTCCCAAAAATAATAACATTTCTGCAAAAAACATTTCATAAAAAGAATAACATTACCCAAAAAAAACATTTCTGAAAAGAATAACATTCCCCAAAATAACATTTCCTAAAAAGAATAACATTCCCCCCCCAAAAATCATTTCTGAAAAGAATAACTTTTCCCGAAAATAATACTTCCTAAAAAGAATACCATTTCTGCAAAATAACATTTCCTAAAAAGATTAACATTTCCCCCCAAAAAACATTTTTCAACAGAATAACATACACCAAAAATAACATTTACTAAAAATAACATTTCCGCAAAAATTTTTTCCTAAAAAGATTAACATTTCCCCGAAAAAAAACATTTCCTGGAAAGAGTAACATTCCCCCC